CAATCTTTGTGCCTTCACTGCGACTCAGACTTTGGATGCGAAGTTACAGTGGGTCGAAGTTGGCGTGAACTTTTGCATGCTATCATGTAAAGCTTCCTTTGCTCTATCGAATGGTATCCTGGAGCCCTGTAAAGAATATGACGTGCATAACTTATCGCTAGATGAGTGTAACAAGACTTAACAACCTAATATTTACGATCTGCGATTTGAGAAATTTCCACAAGGACCGCTCTGGGATAAATTACAAAACGAGATTGATATGTTTAAGAGTGTCAGGCTGTGATTACCTGGTAATTCTCTTTGCCTTTCTCATCCGCTCCTCTAGCGGCGCAACATACGCAAAGCCAGTATTGCGTGCGAAAAGGTCCTAAAATGTATATACCCACAAAATGAAAGTAGATAAGAGAGACAATCTTTACACACCGCTGAGAGTTATGGCATGCCGTAAATGAGCGCCACCGCACATCGTGTAAGATGAGGTAGAATTAATCTTGAGGTTCTTTGATGAATACGAACAGCCTTAGGCCCCGGACAGACTTTACGCGATTTGATCGTCGCGACTGAATCACGACGATCAAATCGCGTAAAGTCTGCCCGGGGCCTTAAAGGCAGTGGCTCGGCAAAACTCAACAACTCAAAATTTTTACGCGGTAGACTCCTTATTGCCCAAGTACGAAAACAGTGCAATTCTAGTTGCACAGCATGCCTTCCTTGCCGGGAAAATTGCTCTCAAACTTACACGCGCAGGCCATTCTTACACGCATCTGGACGAGTTGGCAATTTCCTTCCCAGCATTGGAGGCTGCCCGCCGCAATGCTATAACCATTGGGTCCTGCAACGATTCGGCGTCATCAGCCTTGCAGCACTCGTCCAATTCCAAAAAGAAGGGCGTTGAAAAACGCTCGTTTTCAGCATTTTCAAGCTCTCAAAAGTCGATTCTCGGAATCAGCGTATTGAATAACCCCAGGTAAGCGAAAATTTGACTATATTGAGATTTGCCGAGCCACTGCCTTTGAAATAGAGTGTATCTTGAGGTATAATCTACCTCAAGGTTCATTTTACCTCAGGTAACAATGATGGATACGGCCTCTGATGTTGATCTCAGAAGCTATTCTTTACAACTAAGAAATTTTTTGAAACAAAACCCCTACTAATTTATTTATTTATTTATTTATCAAATACATCGTAAAAGATGCACCACCTCAAAATTGAAATACAAACAGACGATTGAATATGGAACGGGTGAGAGAAAAAGGCAAGAGTGACCTCAAATTTGCTCTCACTTTCGAGTCGTATCCAACTGACAAATCTAGTAGAGCTCTTATATGATTTCGGGAAAATGGTAAAGCTCATGGGCTGCCGATAAAGGCCAACGTTGTTGAAAATGTGACTTTTGGGACTGGATGTGTTCGATGATGATGTAGGTAACTAATGTAGAGGCGATGGCGTTGAGAATTAGGATTTAAAAAAGTATGAGTAGATTTCTTATACATTATCAGGAGTTTCGAACATATGCACAGCGACCAGCAAAAGTAGTATATATTAATTATATATTATATATAATATATAATTAATATATACTACTCATTACCGATTATATATTATATATTATTATTAATATATATACTATCAAAGTTTGTAAGTGGATAGAGGACTATATGTCGCCGAAATGGGGTGTTCTCCCCCGCGGTCATTTGCAACAAGTATGCACTCTTTCACATGCGTGGAGGTTGGAGGTGGACATGCCAAAACTATTGTAATCAAAAAATATGCGAGGATGGTCAGAGGTCTTAGTCTGAAAACTACTAGATTAACTAACCAACACATCATTTTTTTGCTTTACACCAAAATAATTTGCTTCCAGTGGCCGTATTCACCAACGAACCCAGTGGTTCAGGAACCTATTGGGTACTGATGAGATCGGTATTCACAAAGTTAGGGGGTTTGGAACCCAGTGGAGTTAAGACCCAGTGGGTTCCGAAACCCACGAAAAGACACCTAACCGGTATTCACGAACGTACCTAGTGAGTTCGCGAACCCAATAAGCGAGCATACCGGCATTCACGAAACAAGTTACCCAGTTCTTGTGGGTTCCGGAATCCACTGCGCGCTGGGTTAGCGAACAACGGTGCAAGTTCCTCAGTGGGTTACATGCAAACCCAGTCCTTTGTAGAATATTATGGAGACATTGGCAGGGGATATTATTGCAGCAAACTTGTAGTTAGAAACACTTTCGATATTCTTCATAACTGAAAGGGATTTTGTTGGATAAATTTTGGTTGAACTTGGTGCCGGTCACAATTTGGCAGTCTCTGGAAAGTCGCAAACAAGCTTTTTGCGTCAAATTGTAAAGAGCCTAAACATTTGCCGATGTTTGCTCATTCTATAATATCTTAGAATTTTTCTGATACTGCTGCGACTGCAGAGGTAGCCTCATATGGCTCCGGACAGATTTCACGCGATTTGATCGTCGCAATTTAGTCGCCGAGATTTCCATTCATTTTCATTTCACATTCAAAGATTTCGGGGTGAAAATGTAACACAACCGAAATGCAAGTCGATCGGCTGAAATGATGTTGTAACAGTTGCCTCGTCGCGATTTAGTCGCGACGATAAATCCCGTGAAGTTTGTCCGGGGCCTATAGAAAGCAGAGCGTCTGCCTGCATTCGTGTTTATGTATTTGGCCGTCTATTGTCTGTGTTTGTCTATGTCTGTTTATTCCTCAAATTAATAAAAAAAGTTCTTCTCCCCACTCTCTTTAGCACCGTCCACCCAAAATTTCGAATTCAATGGTTTTGTCGCCTTCAGGCTTTCTGATAGCCCTGATTCCGAATATGGAGTCGAAAATTCGCGAAACCCCCAAAAATCCCTGTTTCGAGAACCCTTTGCAACAAGCGCAGGCGAGATAACGCATGCAAGTGGGCGGGACGACCGGGGTCGCCCCGCCTACTTTGCTACTTCTGGAGCGGATTTCTCGCTCCAGAGGCAGTCTTTTGCGGCGAAGCTTGGAGGTTTGTCTAGTATGATGGCCCACACGATATGCCATCATAATCTCGCCGACCTCCATTTTGAGTGGACGGTGCCTTTAACTCAGCAGACAAACGCTTTAAATAAAAATAGAAAAAAGCGTTTTAATCAAAATCGTTTGTTTTTTAATCTGATGAGTAAAACCAATGGGAAGGAAACAAGTAGTAGTCATGGTAATCACATATTAGTTCAAATCATAGAGATTAGAACTTTAGCGATAATCTCCTTGCACTTCCAGTCTGAAGAAAACGTACTTTCCCTACCATTCGGGCGTCCTCGCACAAGAAATACAAATGGACAAAGACTTAAGCGCTTCCTGCGAATATGCACCCTGTCACTGCTGATGAAAATTTCGTTTGAAAGCAGGAATTCGAAAAAGAGGCATAGGTATACTTGTTGTGTATAGCAAATACATCCACGAAAAAAAACTTAGCTACTCCTTGCACCATCAATTATTCAAACTATGCCGATTCGTGAATGCCAGCTATGCCGTGCAGTCTCCGAAAAATGTGGCTGATATCTTCCCTATCATAACTTATAATAACGGGCTAAGGGTTGTTTACGTTTGTCTGTCTGTCTGTCTGTCTGAATCTCTGTCTGTCACGAAATTCGTGGAGCGAGTTCCAACGAAGGTTTTGAGCTGATTTTTTGCACAGCGCCTGCTACCAACATGAGAGTCTACTATACAAAAGCACGAGCGGATCCATTGCGTGGATCCCTCAAAAAATGCGCGTCAACCGAATCCATTTGGCTTTTGGCCATTAAAATTGAGTCTGTTGCGCAACTTTTTGCAAATTCAAGGATATTTCTGAGATGTTAATGTGCAAGTCATGGTCTTTAGCCTAAAAAATTGAACTAAAGTTTATTACTTTGCGAAAACGGAGCCAAAAAGAATTGGTTGCGTAAATGTTCAATATGCCAAGATTTTACCCGATGGTTTGAGAAGATTTTTCCACAGATATGTAGCCCATGGTGATTATGGCATCTTAACGCGAATATCAAGCCATGAAAAGTCCAAAAACCGACTCAAATTTGCATTTGTTCTTTCGAGAAAAGTTTCGTTCATGCGAAATTACCGATCTCATATGGAAAAGCTTTTGGAATGAATAGTTGTTTACAAATCATTCGTGATAGTCTGCATACCGCGGTGAGTTCCAATATCATTATTGTGCGAGAATGAGTAAGGCATACACATAGTAGGGCCAGTGCGAGCCTCTGCGAAGCAGAGGTGAAGCACTGGTGTGGTATAAAACAACTCTGAATAACAAAGATAAGTAGAAAAAAAAGAGTAGAGTCCTCTTTCTGCATCCATTTCCGCAAATATCATTGTCGACAGTCATGCCAAGGTCCGAAAGATTATTGGAATAACACACAGAGTAAGGGAAGGGCAAGTTTTGTCGCACAAAAGACATTGATTCATGTCATCCACCCGAACACAATAGTTCTCGAAAGCGTGTCAAGCGTGCTGGCGCTTCTAGTTTAGCGCAGTGTGTATGTGTCGAGAGAAGAATGTAGTACACAGGCTGGAGAGACACATTGGTGACGTCATGGGATGGTGATCCCACCGGGGCACTTGTGAGTACCGATCTTACCCAGTTGGTTCGCAAACCCACGGACCCCATAGGTTTGCGAACCCAATGGGTTCTGGAACCCACTGGGTTCGGTGATAACACAGCCACAACAGATGTTGATTCTATAGAACAGGAGTTGGCAAACGTTGGTTTCGTGCATTTTGCAAAAGAGAACGACAAAAAGCGAAAGACCGAAGCTTCCAATTGCTCCTGGCAATTTTAAAAGCTCAATCAAACCACCGGTAGTGGTCTTAGCCATAAAGCAGACTAGACCGACCATCGGCGAAGATCTCAGCAAGACAAAATAAGACGTTATTGACGATTGTTGATGCAAACGAATAAATAGCGTGATGAATACCAGTACAAGTGAGATTCATTTTGCGAAGTACTTTCACCATCAGTATACATTAAGTGGGTGCAACTTTCACTTACCACTTTCGACACCATCTTGCTTTTAGCGGCTGAGTACTTTAGAAATAAATGTGGTGCCCCTCGTTAGAGCTTTGCTTCGGCTGATCCTGATGTTGGAATATCCTATTGTCCTTTAAGGCAGCGTCCAGCCAAAATTTCGCCTCTCATGTTTGTCTTTACGTGGCCCTGGTTATAATTATGGAGAACAAAATGTGCAAACTTCCAAAAAAATCCGATTTCCGGGAGTTTATCCGACAGTTCAGACGGGTTTCACTTCCTATGTGGGTGGAGCGTGATAGGATTCGGGCGTGGCTTGATAGCACTTCCACGTTTCCAGGTCCGTTGTTTCTATCTAAAAACAACATGGGAGACTGAATTAGCGCAGCTACTTTTCTTCTGATGCTCACATTTAGGATAGATACTAATTGGCGGGAGCTAGGTTTTGCCTGAACGCCTTCAAAGCTTGTCATCTGAAGTTGTTATGCGAGATGGTCGGCTTTTGTCGAAGGCGGGTAGGGGACTATATGTCCCATAAGCTCCACCCCAAGGTACAGCTGGTATGTATTTGTACCGTCTGTAATGTAAGGAGCTGCGGTCTGTAGCAGATGTCCGAGTGGGACCAGCCCCTTCCGATGTCATATAGTCCCCTACGAGACGGCTGCTATAGAAAGAAGTTTGTGAGCGTTCTCCCAAGTCGAAACAAACACTCCTATTTTTTCGCCGTGGTCAGTCAAAAACAGAGAAACAAGGCATGTAAGACCTATTTTGTACTTAAGTATGCTTGATTTGCGATTAATACAAAGACTTTTTACGTATCAAAGCTGTATTTTTGTGAATGGAATTGCAATGGCCCATACACAGGGTGTCCGTAAAGTATGTATACACTGTTTGGTCGTTTTTATCTTTTTTTCCAACAAGTCTTTTGCCTTACTTCAAGTACCATTTTGTAGAGCTGGCTTCAACTTAGATTTACAGTATGGAGCGAAGCACACGCTCTTCCTTACTGTAGGATTGCGTTAGAAACTTGAAACATATGGTATCAATGTGAAAAGAGCTGCCGTCTCAAAATTTTTCAAAAAAATGTAAAAACCCGTGTAATAAGATTTTTATGGACGCTGAGTTCAATACTCAACTATTCACATGATTGCAAAGCATTCTAAACGGTGTAACCGCACTTTTTAGGAACAGAAAAAATGGCCGCTACCTCTTACCTGACATAGCTCTTCAATGAAGCACATATTAAGCTGGATTTTACATTTGGAATTAGCAACTCTAATTAGCCTAGTGTAAAAGCTTTCAGGCTGTTTTGTTTCCTTTCTGAGGCAAAATATGGCCTTTCATGGCTCAAAACCCTCTTTAAAGTTTCTACCGTAATCCTACAGTATGAAGAGAGATAGGTGATTCGTTCTATACTGCAAATCTAAGTTGAAGCCAGCCTTACAAAATGGTACCTGAAGCAAGGCAAAAGACTTGTTGGGAAGAAAGATATTTAACGATCAAACAGTGTATACATACTTTACGGGCACCCTGTATATACGCAATTCCATTATGAATACAGAGAGGCTTGCGCTAGGTGCTTGGTAGAAAGAATGTTATGGACATAGATGACGTAAAGCGACCATTTTTTATTCCTCATTCCATACCGTATTATGGGATGGTAATTTGCTGTCAGCTGCAACTAATATGCACTTGAATGTCTTGGATTTTTTCCGCTTTTACCACAAGAAATGATGTTTGAATCTTTATTTGTGTTTTACTCGCGAACACCTCATCAGAAGCTGAAAGTAGTCAAAGCAGCTTTATCAAACGTTTTATATCACTAAACGCCTTGACCAATAAGGGCGACTAATCTATTGTTGATAAAGTCAAACGTATATTCAACCGAACAAGTGCTCCAATGAGCAGTTGTGCAAGTATTAGCTTGAACATTACTCACACCCGACAGTAATAATGAGTTGTACATTTGTTTTAGCATGCAAGAGTAGCGATGAGCCTGAAAATTACAAAGTTTTAGGAAGGACCCAAAGTCACTACTAACTGATAATGTGCTCCTATGCCATAACAGGCGGTCATAAAACACTTTCTTTGATACTTAGCTTTTCGGCAAACGCGGTTCTCAGAGAGGTAAATGTGTTCAACACTTCTGATAAAACACTTTAACCCACCACACATTCCTTCAATTTCGTACCGCTGGAAATTTCTTTTGCGGCTTAATTAAGATTCCAAGTTAACGTCGACGTATATATTTCGAAGGAAGTAGCTTGAAATCTAATAAGGTCGGAAGGCCCATGGCTATGCCAGTAAGCTGTCCTAGGCCATTATACTCAAAATACGTCAAAAACCTATTCAGGCATTTTGATGAAGAAATAGTGGCTCCTGCTGTTTGGGATAAGGTAAAAAAGGATAATATACGACGCCTCTGATCCTTTTTGAGCTGGGATATGTTCTTCAGTTGCGAGCAAGTGCAATTATTTTATAATCGACTTCATTATCCTTCCTTCTATGTTTCGAAAGTGGTCCAAAGAAGTTCCTTCTTCTTTTACCAACCAGATGTATTTCAGCGTACACAAAGGTGGAATGGTCTGGTTAATGGTCTCTCCTATGTAGGTGGCATGCTATTTCTAAAACTCCAAGTAATTCACCACTCTGCACTTAAAGGCACCGTCCACCTTAGATTGGAGTTTTGAGCCTTTGGCAGCATATGATGGTGGGGCCCCCTATCAAGCCAATGCCCGGGTCGCGGCGCAAAATTTCGCTTCAGAAGCGAGAAAATCGCTCCGGAATAACGAAGATGCACGAGTACCCCCATCGATGCCCACCTATTTGTGCGCGCTTATCCAATCACCGTTCTGGAAAGCCAGCATGTGGCTTCTCCGGAATGGGAATTCTTAGGTTTTTCACGTTCTTGGCTTCATATTCGGAATCAAGGACATGAGAAGGCCCTGAAACGACATAAACCTGGAAGTCGAAAATCTGGGTGGACGGTGCCTTTAAGATGGCCTTCGGGCTTCCGTTTGGGCTCATGGATTATTGTGCATACTACAAACTCTATCACATAGTACTACATATTAGTTGATTTTTAAAGTAGTTTCTCGGAAAGTTCAATGAAGAGCATCTTTTCCAAGGGGTGCTTGCATTAAACATTGTTCTATCGCATTGGTAAAATGACTGTACTAACAAATTCTTCGTCATAAACGTTATCTAAATCCTCCTTGACCCCCGCCTTAGAAAAGTTGCTTGGTGATTGCTTGATGAGCCTTCCCTCGCATTTGGAAAGCTTCATTTTCTGCTGGTGGGGTTGAGAAGTTGTTATTGGCACTTCCATAGGAGATCCATCGCCAGCTGGTAGGATGATTTATATTGAATGCCTCGTCCACCAACTTGATCCCAGTCCTCATCCTTCATCTCACAACCAGAAGGCCTGCTTTTTGGTCTCAAAAATTGTCGTTATGAGACTTCTATTAAGCCTCCTGCGATGGAGCTCCTGTGGAAGCTCTCACACAAATTCATCATCAGAAAATGAACGGAAGCTTACTAAAGGCGCAGGGAGGCTGGCTCATCAAAAATAGCACAATGGCAATTTTTGCGAGGAAAAAGATCTTCTGAGATGGAGGTCGGGGAGAACTTTCAAACGATGTGGACGAGGAATTTGGCGATACATTCACTTTAACAGTGCATATCTCTCCACTTTCACACGTGAAACTTACTCTATTTCTTTCCTCCAGCGACTATAAAGCAATATTGGCAACAAATATGTAAGGGTGAAGGTTGCAACCTTGAAGGCACTTCCGGGCAAAAGTCATATTTGAGTCTTTCGCTTACCTGGTGTTCGCCATCATCCGAAAATCCACCGTGGAAAGCGCGAAAACGGCAAAAAGTTGCTCTGGCGCAAGAATTAATTAGCAGTGTGGAGGCTTTCACTCTGTAAAGTCACTCTCCCAACTACCGGAGCGCTCTTCTCGCCCCAATATCGCCACCCATCAAGCGCGAATCCGTGACCTGAAGCCCGAGCCGAGAAGATCGCTCAAAAAGTTGGGAAGCTGACTTTACAAAGTGAAAGATCCTACCCACTTGCTGATTCTCATCCTGCGTCAAAGTCTCTTTTCGCTGTTTTCGCTTTCCAGTGCGGTATGATTCAGCATAGCGAACTCTTATGTAAGCAAAAAAAACTAAAATTGAATCCTTGCCCGCGCTGCTCCCAAGAGAACTGGCACAGCAGTCTAACATGCGCAGGAACTCACGCAAGCAAAAGGTTTTTGAACTTGCTTCAGTTTGTTTCTCGTGAAAGGTTTGCATATAAGGTGCAGCCAGTGACCATAACTGAATAGGACGAGCTCCAACAGTAGTGCATCTGCAGCTTTAGATTACGAGTTCTCATACGAAATTTTCAGCAAAATTCGTCGGGTAATGATAACTCCATTTTTTGGACTTTTACTCATTGCAAAAACAGCAGCTCTATCATGGTCAACCGACATATATGGTAAAAGCATTTGATTGTTTAAATTGGTGAATATTGACTAGATCATTGCAGATAAAAATACATGCGGTTTACCCATGGAAGGATACGAAGCCTACCCTTTTACAGAGGAAGCTACAAGACAAGAAGTAAGATAAGACAAGTTGCCACGATTTGCTTCCAGTTTTATTCTTGATACCGTAAAGCATATTTAAGTCTTAACCGATAGAAAAAATGTTTTGAATGCACGACTATCATTATGCATTGTCAGAAAAAAAACAAGTTGTCTACAAAAAAGTTCAGTAGACTCATTCGCTTATAAGCATCGTGCAATTTTAAGTCGCTCTTTGCAAATGCAACATGACTGAATTGCTTGCAAGGCAGATGACAAGCAATGCTTGCGAATTAGCATTTCAGAAGTTTTGTTACTTACTTAGATACTTAGATGGCCCGTCTTCACATGGCGTGCGGGCCCCAGCACAAAAATCCAAGATTATCAACAATTTGACCAAGACCCATCGGCGAGCTTAGAGCGTAGTTTTTACTTAATTAGAAACATATTGTTAGATGGCTCGCCTTTACGTTGCGTGCGGGTCTCAGGCACAAAAGTTTCCATCAATCCCTGTCTCTCACTTCAGACATCCACGATCTTCTTGGTTGTCGTCGGTGGCTACGTCCACGAATTTCAGGCGCAAAATTCACATCGAGCTGATATCTCAGCTGGTCCATTCGTCCCACGAACACGTCTGCCCATCTCGTTGGAGGTCTTTCCGAGGACGTTTTGCTTCGCGAGGGATCCACTTCGATGTTCTTAGTGTTTATCTGTCGTCTGTTCTTCTCATAATCTGACAGGTCCTCGATGCTTCGCTTTCGCAATGTAATCCGCTGGGTCACAAAGACGGGACATTCTTCTCAATATACATACTGCGAAGTCCGACTAGATGTTGCTTGTGTTGGGTCATCTTCAGAAGACTAGGCTCTAGCGCTTTGTGGGTGGTCCGTAGAGCTTTCGACGTTGCTACTATAAGCCCAAGTTTCAGCTGCGTAACAGAGCGCCGGGAGAACGGTTGAGTCGAACAGGTGGACACGCAGTTCCGGGCCCGTCAGTTGGTCGGCGGCTTCCTTCAGAGGCCCGAAAACGGCCCAGGCTGCTCTTCTTCTCGTGTTTAGTTATTCCCTCACGTCGTTCTCCATGTTCATCGAACGTGCGAGATACACGTAACAAGGCGTCTCCGATAAGGGTGCCTTCCAATTCCATTTCTGCATCTTCGCAAAGGGCGTTCCTCATAAACTGAGTCTTCTTCCAATTTATTCGCAGTCCGATCTTCTTCCCTACTTCGTTCAGTTCCTTCAGCATCGTCTCTGCTTCGGTGATACTGCTCGAGAAGAGAACGATGTCGTCCGCAAAACGAAGATTGGACAGGAATCTCCCATCAACTCGTATGCCTCTCTCGTCCCAGTCCAGTGACTTCGTCACCCACTGCAAGGCCGCGGTGAACAGCTTCGGCGAGATTGTGTCGCCTTGTCGGACCCCCTTCCCGATTGGTATGGTCAGGGGGCGATGGAACAGCTGTATAGTTGTTGTACAGTCCTTGTAGCAGTTGGCTAGTGTCCTCACGTAGCTGGGTCCACTCCTTGATCGACTAGCGCTGACGGGATCGCGTTGGTTTCGACGCTGTCAAAGGCTTTCCTGTAGTCGACGAAGGTTAGGACGAGAGGCAGTCCGTACTCCCGGCGGAATTCTATGACCCTCGAAACCGTCTGGATGTGCTATGCAGCTGAATCCTTTGCGAAATCCAGCTTGTTTTTGGGATTGGGCTTCATCCAGTGTCCTAGATATGCGAGCGAGGATGAATAATCTTCGTGAAAAGCTTGTATAGCACACTCAGCAGGCATATTAGACGGTAGTTACGAAGATCCTTTCGTTCGCCCCTCTTGAAATAAAAGGACGGTTCTTGACGTTCTCCGCGGTCGGGAATCCTATTCTTCGGAAGGTAAGATGTCTAGTGCGATGCGAGAATCTCGTGTAGACGTTGTCCTCCGGCTCGCAGAAATTTGACGAAAAGATGGTCTGGTCCTGGACGCCTTCATGGTCTGGATCGTCGCGCGCACTTCGACAGGTAGAATTCGTGGTGGTACTTCTCCAGTGGGAATTAGGGACGTCGGCAAGGGTGTTGACGAGCGAAGGAGGTTGATATAAAAGTTTTTCGTGATAGATTCAGTCTTGTATGGGGAAGAAGTCGAAGTCCCGTCTGCGTTCAATAGTGCAGCCAGCGGTACGTGATATTCACAAAAGCCTCTTCGGCACTTCTTGAGACTTCGGCTTCCTTCGGCTGCTTCCAATATATTGGCTTGTGTGTACTTCCTGAGATCCTCCTGCAAAGCTGTTATGCAACTGGCGTTGGCTATCAGTCGCTCGAGATGGGTTGCATTCGGATATCCTGTCTCAGAAATCTTCTTCTTTCGAGCAATTCCTTGGTGGTCTTCGAAATTCGTTGCAAGTTCTTCTCAGAAGACTGAGGCGCACTCTTTGCAGGCTTGCAATCCTTTTGGAAGCCGGTCGTAGTCGTACGTTGGGTCCTCCTCGATGGGCCAGTCACAACGTGATATGAGCTCTTCCAGCCTGTTACCGTCATAAAAAATTTCCTTCCTTCTTGAGACACTGTAACAGACTTTCTCTTCTAGCTTTCGACTGAGTCGTATCTTCGTTCGAAGGAGACGGTAATCGGAGCCACTGCAGAAGGACGGAACTACTGAGACGTTGAGCAAGCTCCACCTTCGGTTGGTGAGAATGTGGTCGATTTCCGCATGAGTCGTTCCGTCGAACGGTTCTCAAATCCACCGGCGATGTTCTTTCCTCATGAAAATGGAACTCCCATGGAAAAGTCGTGCGGCGGGGAGAAGCCCCACGAGACGGTTGCCGTTTTCGTTCCGGAGCCCATATCCAAACTTCCCGATCCTATATTCCTCTTCTAATGTCATACCGATTTTCGCGTTGAAGCTGCCCAAAACGAACTTGCAGGAGGACTTCTCGTTGCTTCACGTCTTAGTAGAAGGCATTTAGTTCTGAATCGTCAGCTGCAGATGTTGGCGAATAGCAGTTGATGATGCTGTTGGTCTTCTGACGTGGAGGTCGTAGTCGGTAGGGATAGCTAGTCGAGGTGGCAGGATCTCATGCGAATCGACAAAATGAACGATTGATGGGTGGACGACAAAGCCGACGCCTCCCACGTTTCGTGGTGGAACCTTTTCACCACGAATAATGATCGTCTCATCAATCATCTGTCGCACGTCCTTCTTCCTGGGCTTCGTTTCCTGCAAAACGATGATGTGGTACTCAATGTGCTTCGCAGCGTCGAGAAGAGCGCGGATGTCGGCGTTTGTGGAGACTGTCCTGGCGTTGTAGGTGCAGAGCATGAGGCAGTTATTATGGCGTGTCGTTCGGGCAGACCTGTCGTTTTTGTCCAATCCGAAAGGCGCCCTGTGTACCCTGACATCGTTCTTGCTGCCACCCGCGCCGTAGGCGGATCTGATGTGAAGAATTTATTCCTTTTCTTTTTGCTGATCGAGTAATAAAAATTTTTCCCCTACAAGAGCAGACTTATTAGGCCAACTCTTGATTTCCACGGAGTGATCGCTGACCCGGGTGTGGAGCAGAGGGGGGGGGACCACCTTGCGACCGGAAAAAGTCAGACGGCAATGGATCTGGCCTGGCACCAGGTTTTGTTACCATTACAATAATTTTAGAAAAGTTTTGAAGAACATTTAATGAGACACACGTTATACGATACCGACATCACAATGCTTTTGTGTAAACAGCCGAGGAATGTGACTCATCTCACTGATATAATTTCTTAAAATAAATCACATTGAGAACAATCCCACTACTTTAAATCAAACTGAGTAGATCTCGTCATACAGGACATCCACATATTGATTGTGCTAGTCGGAGCGGTTGTTGACAGCATCCGTATAACTTTCTGTAAAAGGCGTCTTTGTATTCTACTAAGATAGCGCAGAAAAAATTGCTGCATCACAATCGCACTGCGAGCATGACCATGCCTATATCAAAACACATTTCAGAATTTTAATGTTTTTTCAGAGAATATCAAGCGTCCGTGCTATGCGAGGCGAAGTACCATGGTCCGTCTTCCTTGATCTGAGCTATTGGAATAGTGAGTTTACTGAACTATATCATAAAATTCGCTACATGTTGATGAATGGCGGAAAACCTGTAAGTTTAGTTGAGGAGTGCTTTCTTCATGTTAGTTCATTCAATTCTAAGTAAACAACTGGAGGAGAGTTACTCCAGGAAAAGGCTGAAGTAGATGCTGCATCTCAATACTGCACATTTCCGAAGCTCTGAAACACAAAATGATTTTTCTACTGCGATAGGTAGTGTCTTGTAGACATTGAGGATGAGAGTGATAACGCAATTATAGACGGTCAGGACATCGCAAAATACTTCCTTGACCATAACGCCAATGCCACATACAAAGCGCATACGAAAAAACTTCCTAAGTACACCACAATTAGCTCTAATTTTTACAGCCAATTCGAAGGAGTCATTTGCGAACTAAAAATGCACCGGCACTTTTCTAAGAAATGTATTTTCCCACATTCCTAAGAAATGTATTTTCCCACATGAGATGCGCTATATGCAAATTGCAATCTACTTTTATTCATTTATTTACATTTCTAGCCATCATTTGTCTTGCAAAGGTTTGAACGCTTTAACGATAAAGCGGGCTTTCACTCTCATCTGTTATAAAGTTACTGAGCTACAAACAGCAGCATCCAAATTTGGAATTTTGTTGCATTCACTTTTCTGGCTGGAATCCGAGTGTCTATGGATGGCGCTATTTCGAAAATTTGGCTACTGTATGCCATAGGAATTGTCTACATCATGCTTACTTAACTGTGCTTTTTGAAGTTACCCAGACTGAGATTTCGGCTTTTCAACAACGGTAGACGTTGCGGTCATTTTATAATCCATAAATTTTTTTGTTGAAGAAGTCATTCGATAAAATTTTGCATAATTATGTAAGCGTAATGCTAGCGCATCCTATCAGCAGTTTTCGCAAAAACATCCAGCTGTTCACTGCTCAAAAGCAAGAAGATTTAAGGTCTGCCCCAATCGGGATCAGGCCAAACTGCCGGCTGAATTCGCGCTCTCGCTATGGGCAGCTGCATACGCGCGCTGTCGCAGAGAGCGAAGAAATTGAGGAGGAGCAGACTAGCCAGCCGTAGACGTGACGCAATACCATCGCAACACGGGCTCCCGCCATGCCAGTTTTGGCCTGGTTAGATTGGGGCAGACTGTATTATTCGGGAGTTTGAGGCACACTGAAAAAGTATTGAAAAACTGAGAAATTTTAAAATTTCAATTTGTTTCTTTCTCGCAAACTTTTTGTCCGAATTCTTCTTATTGCATTTTGTACTACTGGCTTGCGGTTACAAGATAGGTCACCATCTACCATTCATACTAACAAAAAGGAAGTTATGAACTGTCAAAGACAAGGTTCTAACAGAAGAACCTTTTTTGTTTTTTCAATCCATATTTTTCTGCCCGTTCCTGATACGAGTATAAATAGTAAAGTAATAGTAAATGATAGTAAATAATAGTAAGTAATAGTAATAGTAAACGAGCGCTGTATTGCAGAAGGCTTGCTGCTTCTGATGATCGCTACCGCATTCGGAAATGTGAATCTTTCAAAAAGTTATGGCACGTCAAAGTGAGAATTCGCAAATCGGCCATTTCTTTTGCGCCGACCTAATATTAGGTCGTAACGAAAGTTCTTGCGCACGATTTTCAAAAATTCATAACTTTTTAAATTCTCAACGAATTGTATGATCAAAATTTTACTTAAGAGAAAAACTCATGCTCTTGCATCTGTACCTGAATTGTTCGTTAATGTATATAAATGAAGGAGATAGAAGCTTAAAACCAAAATCACTCAAAATTTGGATTTTTCGTGTAGGGTCATAAAAATCGGAGACTTGCAACAAAATTGGATCAGTCAGTATTATATGTTCTTTCACTAGCTTTTTCTAATGGTGCAAAGTTTGCGCCGATTGAGCGTCTCCATGAAATGAAATGTTATAATTTTCGAGCAATCAATACAAAAGTTCGATTTTGATTTATTTTGGCATTTTTCAGGGAAATCATAACTTTTCATGAAGACGCTCAGTCGGCGCAAACTTTGCACTGTTGGAAAGAGCTGGTGAAAGAGCTTATAATACTGACTGCTCCGATTTTTGTTGCAAGACTCCGATTGACCCTACATGAAAAATCCAAATTTTGAGTGATTTTGGTTTTGAGCTTCTATCTCCTTCATTTGTATCAACGAACAATTCAGGAACAGTTGCAAAGAGCATGAGTTTCTTTCTTAAGCAAAATTTTCATCGTACAAATTCATTAAGAATTCAACGAGTTATGAGTTTTTGAAAACCGTGCGCAAGAACTTCCGGAACGACCTAACACATAGCTAACAAGGAAAGCGTGTTGTCAGAGTGGTCTTTTCAGATGTGAACCACACTGCTTTGAAGATACAAAACGATTCCAAAATTTGGCTTTCAATTTTGCCGAGCGCCTCTGGACGCCGAATGACGGTTTTTTGGGAAAACGAATGCAGTGTTTAGGTAAAATCGATTGTTACAATCTTTCCAGCGATTAGATTAAGCAATGTTAAGTACTAGCATATTATACAAAATGTATCCATTGCGTAAACGGCTCTGATCTTGTGCAAATTTAGGCGATTTTGTTCCAATTCTGCGCTCAATTTTTGACCTAAAAATGCCCATAACTCGGCGTCCAGAGGTGTTTGGCAGATTTGGAAAGCAGATTTGGAGTCCCGCTCAATGCTCTTCAAAACAGTGGGTCTCATCTGGAAAGGCCACTTCGACCGAACGCTTCCCTTGTAAGTAGTGAAAACATGTCAAGTCTTGCTTTCGCAAATAACGCTTACGGCAGAATCGCTCTGAGATTTCGCATGAAATATATCTTAGACTGCATTCATACTGATCCCGAAGTCCGGAAACACTTGCAGCACAGCGCTCAGTTCAAGCACTGTGCTGAAACTGTTTTCGGACTTCGGGATCAGTATGAACGCAGCCTTATACGGAGGCTTGGCGATTATGGTATCATGCCTTATGATAATCCGCATAAAGGCAGAGTAAACCTTTGATTAAACTGGCTTGGCTTCGGCAAGGCGGGACTTTGTGACGTAACTAAGGCCGCTCGCGTCCGCGACGCACCTGCGTCTCTCTCACGCGGGTGCTCTCTGATCACTAGCTAGCCTTAATTAGGTCACGGAGCCCCGCCTCAGCGAAGCCAAGCCAGTTGAATTGAATTTAATGGTAGACAGGCGCGAAAACTTGAAGTGCAATGCTGACGCCTTGACCAGACTTTTGTCCAAGTGTGTTGCACTAAATTGTTTTCGAAACGAAAAAGCCTTGGGACGGCGATTGGGACTCCTTACGTCTGGGATACCCAGGAATCGATAAAGTGTCCGTATCGCACACAGTAAGACGTACGATCTTACAACGACTTTGCGTTGTGATTTTGGTGACAGGTTTCTAAATTCAAAGTCGGGAATGGAATAGCCCGTTATCGACATTTTCGTGCTCTTCAAATTGCGTTTTCGGAATCAGCGGAAAGGATAAGCCTAGTTAAGCAAAATATTCCTCAAAAATTTACTTAAATGCTGCCTTTATCTTTTTGCCGTGTAAAGTTTGTCAGCTAGAAAATACTTTAAGGAGTGATTTAAATTGCTTTAAAGCATGCGAGAATAGCACAACAAGGAATTTTCATTTTTATTTGGGATTATTTAGCGCTTATTGGGCTGACAAATGATGCACCTTTATGTAATTTACATGAGACATTTCAGAATGATCTTTCGAGCCTCTGCGAAGCAGAATTGGCACACAGGCTTTTTATGATACACATATATCAAATCCATTTTCAAATATATGCTTTTTATAAAAAAAATCTTTGAAATCACAAAAACAATGGTAGATCTTTGATGATTTGTTCATTTTCTGGTATTTTAGCAAAAATTTGGAAGTTATCGAAGTTATTAATATCGAACAAGCTGCCTGTTGTATGCTATATCATTATCAAAGGACAGGGGATCAAGCTGATATGGCTGCTCTATCCAAATTCGGTGATTGAGGAGAAAAATCGCATCTTGGTAACTCTGCGCTCACAAGGGAATGGTCAAAACTCGAAGTGGCCAATCCCAGCAAGCTGCATACGTTGAACACTCCATGGGGGGCTGGGTACATATCCGCGTTTGCTATCTGCTTCTCGGTCTCCTACACGAAGTTATGACCCTCGATCCGCCATGGGGCCGCCGTACATCATAAGTACTGCTCGCCCAGTTAGCGTCAAAGGTGGACTCATAGCGCAGTGGTAAGTCTGCAGACTCTTAGGTCGAGCTGCCTTTCTTTGCAATTTCAATTCCTTCTTCTTGCCACTCTTTTGCAACCCATTCCCAATATCTATAGTGCTGGCGCGAAGTCCCTAACGCGGTTAAAAAGATAATTCACCATCTGAAGTTTTCAAAAACTCTATTTTTTCTTTAATTTGAGAGTACGAGCCAATTCGGTTAAAAGAGCGCACTAAAGCCTTTTGGCCGAATCAATCTGTCGCGTCAAAGCAATTTCTGTTTATCAGTTTCAGCTCCACCTTTCTTGCTGCTTGCTTCTGTTCGTCCTTGCATTCCTATTCATCAAGATTTTTCTTGCTTTCGCCAAAAATATTCTCAAGAGAGTTAGTACGATAAAAATGAAGCTTTCATCTTTTGATGTTGAATTATCTTTTTAACCGGGACTTTGCGCTAGCAATATAGATAATGGGAATGGGTTGCAAAAGAGTAGCAAACAGAAGGATTAGAATTTGCAAATAAAAAGGCAGCTCGATCTATGAGTCTGCACACTTACCAGTGCGCTATGAGTCCACCTTTCACGCTAACTGGGCGAGCAGCACTTATGATGCGCGGGGCCCCACGGCGGGATCGAGGGCCATAACTTCGTGTAGGAGACCGGGAAGCAGATAATTGAGTCGGTTATATGATATTAGGTTGTCCGGAAATTAATGCCCGTTTCAAATTTCAACCGCGCTAAGTCATATACTTCTCACCTCTAAATGGGTTGCAAAATACCATTCGATAGAGCAAAGCAACTCTACAAGATGGCCGTCTTGCTTTTGCAACAGCTTTCATCTATCTCGAGTTTCGAGCCAAAAACTAAAAAGACTCACCAGTCCGAAAAATCGAAAAAAATCGTAACTCAGTTCATAAAAATCCTACAAAAATTCTAATTTGCTCGCGTAAACACTATCCACATAAGACATCAATATATGCCGTTGCCGTATTTTTTTCTGTGTTAGAAACCAAGGAAATGGAAATTTTCGTGCATTTGCCAAAGTGATGCTGTGCCGTCCCCACATAGGTAGTTGTATACCGCAAGTCTGTAGAAGTACAGACTTAAATGTCCAGCTCTCTACAAGCTTTAGTTCTCGAGAAATACCGAATATAGCTTTCCTTAGTTAAGTGGTCCAAGCTAAAATTCAAATTTCTCGAGAACTAAAGCTTGTAGAGAGCTGAAAATTTAAGTCTGTACTTCCACAGGCTTGTGGTATACAATTACCTATATGGGGACGGCACAGCATTACTTTGGCAAATGCACGAAAAATTCCGTTTTCTTGGTTTCTAACAGAGAAAAAAATACAGCAACGGCCTATATTGATGTCTTATGTGGATAGTGTTTACGCGAGCAAATTAGAATTTTTGTGGAATTTTTATGAAATGAGTTACGATTTTTTTCGATTTTCGGGCTGCTGAGTCTTTTTAGTTTTTGGCTCGAAACTCGAGATGGATGGGAGCTGTTGCAAAAGCGAGACGGCCATCTTGTAGAGCTTGCTTTGCTCTATCGAATGGTACTTTGTTATCTATTTAGAAGTGAAGAGTGTATGACTTATTGCGGTTAAAATTCAAAACGGGCATTAATTTCCGTACAACCTAATATATTAGGTTGGTCCGAAAGTTTTTGCGCATCATTTTCAAAAAATCATAACGTACTTGACACTCGATGGATTTCATTGAAATTATATGTGTTCGAAAGAGAAATTCATGCTTTTTACAGCTGTTTTTTCGACATGAATTACTTTGAGAAACTTCGAGAGTTACAAGCAATTGAGAAAATCAGTCAAAATTGGCATTTTCCGAGCTGAGTCACGAAAAATTGTGGAAGTATTTTAAAGATAAAGAAAATTGTGCTCATTACAATGGTATCTTTTTCATAAGCTAAAATGGAAAAGTTCGAGAGTTAGAAGCAAATAAAGAGAATTTCTTCAGTTTCGCAATTTTTGAGCATGCTCGAAAAAGCCTAAAAACGTCGCAAAAAAGGCGAAAAAGTCATGAACATGGGTTTTGTGACCTTTTCTTTGTAGATGAGCGGGAATCATGCCAGTCGAGAGCAATCTTGTTTTTCATGATTTTTTCAGATTTTCGGGCCTGCGTTTTTCACGAAAAACAAAATTGCTCTTGATTGGCACGATTTCCGCTCAGCTAGAAAGAGAAGGTCACAAAACCCATGCTCATGACTTTTCCTTCTTTTCTGTGACGTTTTTAGGCTGTTTTAAGCATGCTCAAAAATTGCAAACTAAAGAAATTCTCTTTATTTGCTCTTAATTCTCGATCTTTTTCGTTTTAACTCATAAGAAAGGTAACATTGTAGTGAGCATAATTTTCTCTATCAAATAAAAATACTTCCAGAATTTTTCGTGACCCAGCTCGAAAAATGCCAAGCTTGACTAATTTCCTTCAATTGCCTCTAGCTTTAGGACTTTCTAACGCCGCTTCACAGCAAAGGTGCTGTTGTAAAGAGAAAGATTTCCTCTTTCAAACAAAAATAAATAAGAAAATCCACAGAGTGGCAAGGAAGTTATGATTTTCGGAAAATGATGCGCAAGAAATTTCGGACCAACCTAATATATGCAAGGTTTTATTTGAAAAAACTGGAAAGATTTTTGCACTGAAATGTAGCCCAAGGTGACTATTATCCTTATGACGATTGTCAAACTAGAACAAATTCAATAATCCGTTCAAATTCGCATTTGTTTCCTTGCAACGAAGTTTTTTTCTCAAAATTACCAATCGTACATGGAGGTCTCCATGAATGAAGTGTTGACAGTTGTTTACGATTCGTTTCTGATGCTCAGCATCGTATAGTGAGTTTCAAAGCCGTTCCCATGCGAACATGAGAAAGACATACGGATAGGGAGCCAGTGCAAACCTCCGCGAAGCGGAGGTGATGCACTGGTAATCGGAATAATCCTATATCCCAAATAGGATTCGATATATCATTAGATAGAGCAAACCTAGCTCTACAAAAGAGTGTTTAGAGATTTGCAGCAGCTTTGACCTAAGCAAAAACTGAAGCCAAAAACGATAAAGATCCGAGCGCCCCAAAAAACCAAGAAAAAATTGGAAGTCCGTTCAGAAAAATCCTTCAAAATTCCTAACATGCTCATGCATTGTCATTTCGTATAAGACAGTCTATGCAGTTGCTGCACTTTCTCTTAGTTAGAAACTGAGAAAACGAAGTTTTTCATGTTTTTTTTCCAAAACAATGCTGAGATGTTCTAGCACTGACAGTTGTATACTATAGGACCTTAAAAGCGTAAGTGTGAATTTTGAGCTCTTCACAGAAGCTGGTTTACGAAAAATATAGAATTTTTAGCAACTAGGCAAGATAAGTTTGGATAAGGAGAGCTGGATTCATCATTTCCTGTGAACTAGCAGTTCTATAAGGCTTAAAATGTAAAGTTTCACTGCTATCGGCATGTACTATACAACTATTAGTGCTAGAACATCTCAGCACTAATTTGGCAAAAATATGAAAAACCGTTTTCTCATCGTCTAGTTGAGAAAAAACTACAGCACCTGGATAAATGTCTTACGTGGAATGTTTACGCGCAAGCAAGAAAGAGTTTTTGTAGGAGCTTTTGAATTAAGTTACGATTTTGTATTGATTGGTCTTGAAGTTTTCGGACGCATGTTTTTTTTAGTTTTCGGCTCAAAACTTTGCGTGGATCAAAACTGGTGCAGATATCTGAGCACTCTCTTGTAGAGCTAGGTTTGCGCTATTTAATGATATATCGAATTCTATTTGGGACATAGGATTATTCCGGAATATTGCGGTCTGTACCTATTTTGGTGTAGGAATTATGCATCGGCATATTTGAAATTGCACCTAATTTGCTAGATTGCTATCATTCTGGAAGTTCCTACCGAATTTGCATAAAATAAAGCTAGATTCTTTATCTCACATTGTAATTAAGTCTTTGTTGAAGCAGGTATCACAAAATGAGTTTGGCGACATACATTTGTGCGAAAGAGATAGAGGGTGTCCCAAAAGTAAGTGCACACTTTAATCGTCAATGTCTCTCTTCCCAATGGATCTTTTTTTGCCATGTAAGTAGCATTTTGTAGAGGAGGCTTCAACTTAGATTTACAGTATCGGTGGAATCACCGATCGCTCTTCGTTACTGTAGGATTACGGTAAGGACTTTCAGCATGCGGAACCATTGTGAAAGATGCCATCTGACGAAATTTTTTGCAAAGAATCTGAAATATCGCCTACCAGGGTTTTCGCGCACGTTGATTCCACCACACAATTTTTTACAAGTGTTCTCAGTTTTTTTGACGGTTTAATTACATTTCTGACAAATGCTGGAAACTGCGTTATTACGTGCCGGAAATAGCTTAGGAAAAAAGCATCACAGTAAAATGGGAATTTCAATTTCGAAATCAGCGACTCCCATTGCCGTAGTATAAGAATTTTTTGGCTTGTTTGGTTTTGTTCCGAGGCAGAATATGGCCTCCAATGGCCTAAAATCCTTGTCAAAGTTTGTACCGTAATCCTACAGTAATAAAGGATGACCGGTGATTCGCGCGATACCATAGATCTAAGTTAAACCTCGCACTATAGAATGGTACTTGAATGGAAGAAAAAGACACAATGGGAAGAGAGATATTGACAATTGAAAAGTGTGTACTTACTTTTGGGACACCCTGTATATTAGAACAAACAGTGTGGACATTTTTTGGGACCCTTTGCGTTTCTAGATTCTTGCACGGATACAACGTTATTTGAAGGAGCAAAAATTATCTTCTGCAGACAATATTTTATGGGGCGATAGTTTTTGTTGGCATGATTTTATTTGGCTGAACAAAAAACTAACATGATTTCCCAATTTTTATGCAATACGCCATATGAAAAAACTGTTTCTGCCAAATTATTTCTTAGCCACTCTTGATATGTTAAGACTTTTGCGAAGGAACGCTTATCACAAGGAGACATGTGTTAACGGCTGCTCATTGCTTTGCACGGAAAGAAAACATGGATGAATGCAAGTGAGCAAAGTCGCTACTTCATTTTTTTAACCCAGCACATGTTTTGTTTTATAAGTCAGATAACGCTTTTTACAGAAAGGAAGATATGGCTTATCCACACGATGCCTTAGATTTTGCACAAGCGTATGTCGGAGGACGCTGTCGACACTTTGACAGAGACGCTTGCGATGATGAGGAGCTTGGCGAAAAAATTAGCATATCGAGGTATCCTTTAGGAAAGTAGTTGAGATATAGCGATGGCAAATCTAAATCCGAATTGCTTTTGATAACGCTAGCAACTTTCAGACAACTTCTCGAAATATGATTTTTCAGAGTTTACTTCGATGAGTTCTTCTTATATAATTGCCATGGTAAACAAAATTTGGCTCTGATAGAATTAGAAGAAGATGTACCTGCGAAATATCACCACATCTGCCTTCCTTTCCTCTACGATGCGGAAAAGTTGGTCGAAAGTCCTCATCTGAGAATGACCTCTTACGGGTATATTTCGGATCGTAAGTTCTGCTTTAATTTGCTGAAGCAAGCACAATACTAATAATCTTTTTTCGTTACTGTAATCATAAGTATCTTACCAGTTGTAAGTATAGCGATTTCATCTCAAGACTTTATAGTTTGGAAAGCTTTTTGTCTTATTCACATTTATGCAAGCTACTAGCTCTTAAAAGACTGCGAGCTATAAAGAGTCGTAGCAAAAAAAGGGGGAGGCGTGGTCTAACTTGTTAACTTGAAACGTTGTTACATTCTAGGTTTTCGGTTGTGCTCTACCTGAACACATCACTAACAATGCCATATCAATTTTCTCAATTCTCCTTTGCGCGTCACTGTTTGAGATACTAAGTGGGATCCCGGCTCTGCTTATTCTCTGTGGATACAGTGTGATAGTACCCACCGCTGTATTCCATTTCTTTCCTCGTCTCACTGACATAGCATAGCCACGATATTATTTGGAAACTTTTTTGATCGTTAAAACTTCTGCATCAACCTGCATTCGTGCGCCATTTCTGCAGGGGAAAGAAAGTGCTTGATTATAAATTGCGTAAGGCTGCACTCCACTCCTGAGGCCGTATTCATCATTGATACCTTGAGGTAAATCCTATTTTCAAGTAGTTTTATCACTCATTACCAGTGATAAAATTATATGATAATCTATATACAGTGTGTCCCAAAAATGTATCCACTGTATGATTGTTAATAACTCTCTTATTATGAGGTCTTTCGAGAAGCGGTAAGCTCCATTTTGTAGAGCTGGCTTCATCTTAGATTTAGTTTGGAACGAGTCACCGCCGCTCTTTATTACTGTAGAATTACGGTAGAAACTTGAAATGTGGTGTCAGTGTAGAAAAAGCTGTCGTTTCAAAAATTTTCGAAAAGATTTTTAGGGACGTTGAGTTCAATATTCAACTATTCTCAAGATTAAGAAGCTTTGTAAACGGTGTAACCGCACTTTTTAGGGACATTGAAAAAATGGCCGCTACTGCTTACCTCGCATAACTCTTCAGTGAAGCATCATAATAAGTTGGGAACTTTACAGTTAGAATCAGCAACTCTAATTGGCCTAGTTTAAAAGTTTTCAGGCTATTTTGATGTCTTTCTGAGGCAAAATATGGCCTTTCATGGCTCAAAACCCTCTTTCAAGTTTCTACCGTAATCTTACAGTACGGAGAAAGATGGACAACTCGCTTTATACTGCAAATCTAAGTTGAAGCCAGCTCTACAAAATGGAGCTTACCGCTTCCCAAAAGACCTCATAATGAGAGAGTTATTAACAATCAAACAGTGGATACATTTTTTGGGACACCCTGTATATATAAAACTCAAAAATTGTCAGTTTGGAGGGTATGTGCGTTATAGAAACGCACGCTGCTCAACCGATTCAGCTGAAACTTTGCACACATATGTTTTCAACTCTTGCGCAAATGATAGGCTACTTTTTGCGGCGAATCGTTGGATCCTTCGATCGATTTATTGATTTTACGTTTTTCTAAGGAATCTAAGGCTTATCATGTTCAATCAAGCATTTTCCCATGGTCATGTAAAGGAGGGCGGTGAAGCTCATTCTCACCTCAGGATGACGAGGATGCGGTTTCGAAGCGGATGTCCCAGGGTAAGTCATCCATAACATATAAGGGGAGGGGGCTTGCAGTGCAGGTGAACGGAACAAAGCCCGGGCTGGACAGTGAGTGATAAAACTACTTAAAAGTAGGATTTACCTCAAAATATCAATGATAAATACGGCCGGCCTCTGCTATCGTGTAGCTGCACTACTCTTGCAATCTGCAAAAAGGCAGCGGGATGGCAACAGAGTCACCACATGCACAGTGTTGCGCTCTGCGAGCTCTGGTGGGCTCTGCACCCCTTTCGGGGGGTGCTGCCGTGCCTTACAGTTTCTAACCCAAAGGACTTCCGCTATTGTGGGTGGGCGCATAGAACCTATAATGGCGCGTCACGCCTACTCAGAAAACAGTATATAGGGCTTATTAAATTGCGTGTCGTTTGCACCAGCATCTCCAACTTCGCGCTGGACTCTGCGTCTTTTCCGCGAGCTGCTCTCTAAGCACTTTCCCAGGGCGAGCGTGGGAAAGGCGGAGCCTCTTTCGATTGGAAGTGATTACGGAACATGTGCCGCAGAAGAGACGCAGAGTCCAGCGCGAAGAGGAGGTGCTGGTGCAAACGACACTCAATTTGATAAGCCCTATATATATTAGGTTGGTCCGAAAGTTCTGTCCCAACATTTTCAAAAAATCGTAACTTCTTCCTAACACAATGTTTTGCAAGATTAAAACCACATTGAAAACAGCAATTCGTGCACTTTCTAAAACTACCTTGGCTGCTGTTCATTAAGCTCTGAATGCAGAGAAAAAATTGGAAAAAGGAGATCACTTCAATTTCGGAATTTCTAAGCAAGCCCGTTGAAAAATCCAAAACTGTCATAAAATCCAAAACAGGCAGTATCCTAGGTTTTTTGATCCCCTCTTTCCAGCTGAGCAAGATTCGCGCTGATCGAGCCCTTTTGAGAGAAGTTATGATTTTCAAGAAAAAATGCCAAAAAATCAGTTTCTTAAGAAAATTGATTTTTTGACATTTTTTTCAAAAAATCATAACTTTTCGGAAAACAGCTAGATCAGCGCGAACTTTGCTTACCCAGAAAGAGGGGGTGAAATAGTCTAAGATGCTGGATGTTTTCGATTTTATGGCACAGTTCTAGGTTTTTTAACGGGCTTGCTTAAAAATTCCGAACTGGAAGTGATTTCGTTTTCCCAATTTTGTCTCTGCTTTCAGAGCTTAGTAGAGAGCAGCCAAGGTAGTTTTAGAAAGTGCATGAGTTGCTGTTTTCAATGTGGTTCTACTCTTGCAAAAAAATTGTGATAGGAAGAAGTTACGATTTTTTGAAAATGGTGGGACAGAACTTTCGGACCAACCTAATATAATATACATGCAAATTCAATAAACAGACAAACAGAAAAAACACACAGATAAGAGAAACATACCACCAGAAAAGTTAAGCTCAACTCCGGGCTACTAAGAGGACTCCCACTCGCTCACTCTTTCTCGCCCAACACACTCTCACACATTCCCGACTTCCAAGAGAGCTGACCTAGAGGTCGGTCGGCCGCGCTTGCCATCAATGCAGTAGCGACGGCGCGGCTGAAACCAATCCCGCAGATGTTGACCAACAACTTCAAACCCAGCTCCATCACATTTCCTGCACGTTTGTGCAGTCCCGGGTGTTCATCCCACAATATTTCCATCCTAGCGCGTCCAACAACCACTCCACCACCGGACCATACACTCGCTCAAGGCGCGCGGACGCAGGCACTACGCCGACTTTACAAGAGCTCCACCGATCAAAAAAAAGAGCGACACGAGCAAGGGTAAGATCAAAAAGATACCACAAGGGCGCGCCTGCGCTATTTATATCCGAAGCTGGGAGCGTGCTTGCGTATGGTCCGGCAGCGAACAGGGTAGCACACGGTAAAGCGCCGCGATCGTGCTCACGACCGAACTGCGCGGCAATGCTCTGGGCCAAACGGTTAAGCGGGAGGTTGATCGTGAGCGACACACAGTGATTTACTATTCAATAATCATTCTTTCGTTCTCAACGATTCACTACAGAATAGAAACCGTGATATATTCATAAGGCATCTTTGGTAGTGGAATTATACTTACTTTAAAATCTTTTCACTGGACGATGGTCCATCACTTCTTCTTGCCAAAATGTGCCGGAGAGATAACGAGTTCGGCTGGTTTCGCCGGCCTCTCTTCTGACTTCGGTGTAACGATCACCCGGTGGACCAGCCACGGTTCCTTCCATCAGATTCTTCCTTTCTTCTATATTCGCCTCCAAATGATCCGAGCCTAATAGTCGACCGGTCACGAGAGGATTGAAGACAGAAGTGTTGCATTCACAGTGGTACTAAAGTCAAAGTAGCCTTCCTTTTGGGGCAAAAAGCGAATGAGGCACCGCAAAACATGTGAGATAAATTATTCAAATATGCTGCCATATTATGTTACTTTGTGAATGACATGCCTCAACAAGTTCCGACAGTGCAAAATTCAGATGTATTGGTAAAAGGGACAAATGACTTGTTTACATCACACAAAAGAGCATATGACATCAAGGTTGAAAAACATGGTTACAATATCTCTATGAACATTATTAATAAAAACTTAACCTTGGAGATTTCATAATATTTTGATGTAAATCGAGAAAAACTGTCTCCGTTTGGGAAAATTTCGCGGATTTCTTACTTGCTCAAGTATATACTCTTCACATCGAAATTCATACATACATTTGCTTTGTTGCATTTTTCAAACTCGAGAAACACAATTTAGTCAGTAAAGTCCAAAAATGCACTAAATGAGACTTTCGTTTTTTTTGAGTTAAATGATAAAGTTAACATTTGTAAAAGGCTAAAAGTCCAAATTGATACATCCAAAAATTCATGCTTAAACTACTTTTGTAAAGACAGCCCAGCACAACTTTGGCAAAAACCAAACTTGTTGCTTATTCGACTTTCAGCGGTTGGAAGGTAAGCAAGTACGGATAAGCAAGCAGGACGTCCGTATGATTTTTTTAAACGCAGACACCATTTTTCTTGATTATTGAAGTCCGTATCCCTTTATTTTGGTTTCAAACGTAACGTGGAACAACTCTGTGTTTTGTTTGGATAATGTCTTGTAGAGTTTGTTTTGCCTTATTGAATGATGTCAAAATCTACTATATGTAAAATCCAAAAGATCATGACTTGTCCATTCTGTCGGGGTGAAAACGTTAAAACAATTAGCTACAACCTTTTATTGGGTGGGTCCAAAAACTTGTGCCGTTTTTGAACTCATCCTCAAATCAATCAAAATAACGATAGACAAACACTCTAAGCATTGTTATAAGCAAAATTTATTTCTCCTTGCAGCAGTGGTATTTTTGTTCCCGTATTTCTTCGATGCTCTTTTGAAAAATTGCCATTTTTTGAAACTTTTGATTGCTTTCGAAAAGTTTTGATAAACAGTTGAATAGAGTAAGCATAATGCTACAAAATTTGATTTTTTTGGCATTAGTAGCTGCTTTCCAGTACTTGTATTAAACCAGTTTTCCAAAATTTTTATGTTTGCGAAGGTAAAATATACAGACGCTTTAAACACTATATAAACTTCGCAAATGGAGATTTCCAAAAATCGATTATGATTTGACATACCGCCTCGAAATATTGATTTTTGAGATTTCCGGGTCAGGGCTCGGCACGAGGTGGCTAGTTGAAAATGCAAAAAACGAATTCCCCCTTGACTTCGCCACAAAAGTACATCCCCCTTGACACGCTAACGAACAAGTCAAAAATGAAAACAAAAAGAATGAAGTAGTATACCAGACCGACAATAAATCTTATATATAAAGCTGAATGTCTGTTTGTCTGTATGTCTGTCTGTCTGTCTGTCTGTCTGTATGTATGTCTGTGTGTACGTATGTTCCGAATAGAAAATTCCATTTCTGAACCGATCCGGACCAAACTTGGCACACATACACTACGGGCCCCGGCGGGTGTCATAGGCTACTTTTCGTCATCGATCGATATCGATTTTATCGATTTTTATCGATTTTTTTGCTGAGTTCACCTACGGGGCTGGGAGTTGGCACAGGGGGGTAATCGAGCATGGGGATTCCGAAAACAATATTGGTTTTCAGGATTATCGATTACTTTTATCGATTTTATCGATTTTTTTGCAAAGTTTGAGCTACGGGGCTGGGAGTTGGCACAGGGGGGTAATCGAGCATGGGGATTCCGAATACAATATTGGTTTTCAGGATTATCGATTACTTTTATCGATTTTATCGATTTTTTTGCAAAGTTTGAGCTACGGGGCTGGGAGTTCGCGCAGGGGGGTAATCGAGCATGGGGATTCCGAATACAATATTGGTTTTCGGGATTATCGATTACTTTTATCGATTTTATCGATTTTTTTGCAAAGTTTGAGCTAGGGGGCTGGGAGTTGGCACAGGGGGGTAATCGAGCATGCTGATCATCCCCAAGGGGGTGATCAGCATGCTCGATTACACCCCTGTGCCAAATTCCAGCCCCCTAGCTCAAATTTTGCAAAATCGATAAAATCGATAGAAGTAATGGATAATTCCAAAAACTAATATTGTATTCGTAATCTGCATGCTCGATTACCCCCCTTTGCAAACTCCCAGCCCCGCAGGTCAAACTTTACAAAAAAATTGATAAAATCGATAAAAGTAATGGACGATCCTGAAAACTAATATTGTGTTCGTAATCAGCATGCTCGATTACCCCCCTGTGCAAAATCCCAGCCTCGCATGTCAAAATTTACAAAAAATCGATAAAATCAATAAAAGTAACCGATAATTCTGAAAACTAATATTGTATTCGGAATCCCCATGCTCACTTCCCCCCTGTGCCAACTCCTAGCCCTGTAGGTGAACTCTGCGAAAAAATCGATAAAAATCGGTAAGATCGACATCGATCGATAACGAAAAGTGGACTGTGACACGCGCCGGGGCCCGAAGTGTATGTGTGCCAAGTTTGGTCCGGATACGGCGGAGCCGGGTAAGCCAGCTAGTAGGCAATAAAAACTAGTGATTGTTTGCATTCTCCGGGTTGGCGGCATGCTGTGTCCGCCGCGCACCACCGCGAGCTTGGAGCGCCTTTGCCGCTGCCACCCAGATATTTGGAGGGCTATAACTAGACGGGGAGGAGAGGGTTCGGGAAGGTACAAAAGTGTAGATTATTAGATGAGATGTAGGTTACTTTTATGTAAAAAATTTGGAAAAATTATGTGAAGAATAGGAATTATATGACTTTGTTTGCGCTAAGCCACCTCAGGTGGCTATCCAGGTGGCTCAAAAGCCACCTAATCCCGAAAAAAGTTTGCCATGCCCTCAGTTACATATTTTTTCATAATTTAACATACATAATCCCAACTCTCCATTGCCCATCTACACATCTATTTTGGTGCCATTTCATCTTCACTTCGCTGTAAACAATCCCTTTGTTTATTTGTTGGCGGCATGCCGGCAGCGTGCCGGCAGCAGATCGAAAGACAGCGTTATGCTCTTCCGCAAAAACGATATCCCCTTTGCTTTTCCCCCAAAAACGATATCCAGCTTGCTTTGCAAGCCACCTGTGCCGAGCCCTGTTTCGGGTGCAGCCTGGGACGCATCAGAAAAACTAAAGTTATGGCAGTTTCTACCTCAAGGCCTTTACCGATCCAGAAAGAAAAACATCTTTCAAAAGAGGAAAGAAAGCCGCATCGAATGACACCTTAAGTGTTTGCCGTCTGATGATCTTCGAGTTTTGGGATAAACATACCTCGAATTTGGTAGCATCAAAGAAAATTTGAAAAAATAGTTTTGGATCGGTGCACACCTTGCTTTAGAGATCTTCTTGACGTTTTCAGAAGGTTTTCTTTTAGTCCAAGATTATCAAGGCAAAGACATAAGCTTCTACCTTTCAAATGACTCTGTAGAGTTGTGCCGCCGAAAATTGTTTAGGAGTAGGAGCACATCGAACAACGGTTGCAACGGAATGCGGCAACGCGAACGACGCGCGCAACGTTGCAACTTTCCTTTGCTTCAATATCAAAGATAAAAATCGTAGTTTCAATACATATGTGTATCGTCTACAACATAGATACTTTTGGATACTATCAGAAACTTGTTCCTATCTTTTAGAAAAGCACAGAAGTCCTTCTCAAGTGGCAAAATTTCAACATTTCGAATTAATTCACAAGGGAAGTACACTTAGTCGAAGTGGCGATTCGGAAAGAGATCTAAACCAGTGAATAGAGCTTAAAAAGCTGATTTCAGATACACCTTCTATATCTGCGATGCGTTGTTCTGAAAAAAGTTATGAGCTTTTCTAAAGTCAAATTTTCGTGCATTTTGAGTCCTAAAATCAAGATAATCACTACACGAAAGTGTGCAAGCTTAAGCCAACCACCTAGGAAGCATTTATGTCTAATTCGAGTTCATCCGAACATTTTCGAGTGTTTTCCGACCATGTTGTTTATCTACAGGCCGTCATTTCCCTCCTAGATCACACTTCCATTATATATATAGAAAACATAACCCCTCAATCTGAAAGAAAGCGCTGCAGATATTGAAGATATATTTACATCGTTTTACGTTCTATCTATTGGTAGTTTCCAAAAAGTTTCCGACGCGACGCTTTTTTCTAGATGGAGGTTATGGGACTTTTTTGTATACATAATCAAAGTGTGATCTAGGAAGGAAATGACGACCCGTGAATAAACAACATGACCGGAAAGCACTCAAAAACGTTCGGATGAGCTCGAATTAGAATTACAATGCTTACTAGGTGGTTTGCTCAAGCTTGTACACTTTTGTGTAACGATTACATGATTTTGGGACTCAAAATGCACGAAAATTTGACTTTAGAAAAGCTCATAACTTTTTTCGGAACAACGCATCGCAGATATAGAAGGAGTATCTGAGATCAGTTTTTTAAACTCTATCCACTGGTATAGATCTCCTTCCGAATCGCCACTTCGACTAAGTGAACTTCCCTCGTCAGAACTTTGGGTATGGAGTTCATAGGATATATCATTACAGACGTAGCACACAGTCTTCAAATAAGGTCCCTTTGTTGTCTAACGGCTTAAAAATACCATTTTCGCCGAGCGCGATTTCGCGGTCTGAAACGTGTTAAGTTAGGTTGGAGTTTCATACTGCAGTCGCTGCAGCAATGGCAGTCAATCGCTCGACATCATTTGCCCGCGCCAATTTGATTGCACTCGCTGCACCGATTGCAGTATGAAACAACCCTTAGGTGAAAACGGGTAGAAGATTCTGACGATTTTCAAGCGGACAACTAAATTGGAACAAAAACATTGCTGCTAGACAGAGGAAGAAATTTTGCATAGAACAGTTTTTAGAGTGATTGTCTATCTTTATTCTGGATAGGCCTAAAAAGGCCCAAACTATCGCACCCACCTAACAAATTTGATTTTTGAGCCAACTTCTTGTGAGCAATAATTCCTCTTTGCAGCGGGCGATGATCCTGACGCAGATCTTGAAGTCCAGCCGTACTTACAAAAGCTAGACTTAGGTATGTAATTTTAATTTTCCTTAGCAAGGACTAGCTAATGCGGTTTGACAAGGATGTTTTACAATTATTGTAAAATGTAGATTGAGCTGGAGAAGATACATATCAGATGCTAGAGTTTTATGTTCTAAAACGGCTATGAACCCATGATTGTGAGCATTGAATCAAAAAAAGCGACCAGTTACTACAAGTACAATGACCAAGTTCTCCAACATTTGTACTATGCGGATTTTTTTTATTATGAGATTTGATCCGATATTACTTCACAAAAATCAAATACATATCATCTATGATACAATCAAATTCAGGAGAAAGTATGTCACAGGAGGAATGCAAAAGAATGAGTAAGCAGAAGCCGGAGGGCACTTTCTGCACGTACGGGATGAATAGCGTAAATTATTGTAAGGTAACTATGTTAGTCCTTGATGAGCGTTCATCTCAGATTTACAACCGTGAAATAAAATCAAATGCATTTGAAACATTTTGATAAACTGTAAGAACTTTTTTAGACTGTAAGTGGAGGAGGTGTCACAACTATGATAGATGGCAAAGCATATCTAATGGGTGTAGTATCTTTTGGAAAATGGTGTAAAGAAATGAAGCATAAGGAAGGACCCAAAGTACAAGTCAGTACTCATTTGTTACTCGTCCTAAAATTTTTTCAACTGTCTTTGAAACTCTAACACCATATTGTAGCCGCGGCAAACGTAGTACTTACCCATTTCATCCGCTTCAAATTAGCTGCATTTCTGGTCATCTTAGCGCTTCTAAGGTACCCTCACAACAAATTCACGGTGGTTTTCTCAAGAATTTAATCTACGTCATTGATGTCAAAATTGTTTTTTGGGAAAGTCTCGCCAACTGTCTCATTTTGCTCAGCAACACAGAAAGTTTATCAAACTATTTGTCATAAACTGTCGTCGTGTGGGATATGTGTTGTTCAATTCTTGACAAAAAGCATATCTACTGCAAAAAGTTTCAAAGGCTGGTTTTTTGTTCTATCACAAGAAAAGGTTGTAAGAAGTGCCATACCCTACAGAGAAGTCACGATAAGCCATTACAAATCTGATGTGACGGAATATGTGCGGTAATGCTCGGCGTTACCGCGTAAGATCACGAGTAGTTGCTTGGAGCTAATGTGCGAAAACTCTGACACTAACCTAATCTTACTCTACATTTACGCTTTTTTGATAGAAACAGAAATCTATGCATATACTTTTTGGTCATATGCGCGAGAATCTGGCCCGTAGTAAACTACCGTCAGGGCATCTCCCCTGAGGCGGACCGGAGTTGATATCTTGGCGCCTCAGTCCAGCATCCGGCGAGCTATTGATCTGGATGCAGATCGCTTCCTGGACATTGTGATCAAGTGCCTTCTCGAGAAAACAGCTACTTGATTCGATTTGGTTAAATGGGTAAGCCATTGGAATTACACGCGCGCGGCCGTGGTTCGACTCGCCTAGCGGCACAACTTTTGCTGCATCGCCGGGCAATCTTTGATACAATCTTTGCGGCCACTATCCAATCGATGATGACCGCTATCAAGGATTTCGCCTAGCAAACGCAAAGATAAAACAAAAAACATTTCGTTACGAAAATTTTGCGACAGAACGAAATGGTTGCAACGTGAATTCAATGAAATGAACAAATGAGTCCTCGTTTTGGACAGTTTCAAAAAAAACCAGTAAAGTTTACAAAAAAAGAGAAGAATTTGTTTTTTTCTGTCTTCCTCGCCAAAATCAGCTGTTCATCGATCCTCTCCTTTTCGGGCGCGGTCGTGCAATTTTGCGCCGATTTTGTCCGCAGTGTTAGGCAAATTGCTGTGTATCGTAAGTTACTCAGGAGCAACTTACGAAGATTTTCTCTGCGTTTCCTCTTTAGCACACTATTTCTGGACATCATCGCTCATATCATCTCCCATGACCCGGCAGGGAGATCATCTCCCTGCCGAACTTCACCTGAGGCTCACCTCTCAGGTGACGTTGCATCCCTATAGCATGGGGAAATGGGCGGTCGTCATTTTACTGACAGAACTTCACATGAAGGTCTCAGGGGAGATAATCTCCCATGACCGAGCTTTACTACGGGCCTCTCTGCGACGAGGGAAAGGCTGAAGGATAATGCCGCAACGACATTTTTGGCTACGGCTTCTCCATGACAAAGACGCCGCTAGCTAGCAGCGGGAACAAAAGCTTATGACTGTAAGTTACCAACGAAGATTAAGGGCCGCATGCGTTGACTTCTCTGCTGGAAACCTAAAGCTACAGTGTTTTAGATCTCACACAGTGTCTAATCCGCATGTGTTTCTATATCATAAACATTTAAGCGAGAAATTGCACAAGCCCCATTTTCTAATTTTTTGTACAGGCTTTTAACAATCCCATGCGGCCGATGATCTTTGCTTCAAAGTCATTTCTCTTTTTCTCAAATTATTGGAAACACTCCAAAGTTGAACCGTCCATTTAACCCAAGGTGCTGACAAGGGAGGTGTTTTCGGTCGAAGTGGCATTTTCACATCAAATTGATACGACTATAAAGAGCATTGAACGCTAATTCCAAATCTGTCTTCGTTATCTGCCGAGCGAATCTAGACGTCTAGTTATCAGCTTTTTTTGAGTTGAGAAATTAAATGCATAATTAGGACAACATTCGTTAGAAATGCTCAAATAGTCCAATGTTGAGTATCAAAGCACTTTATTTGAACGACTTCTATCCAAAGCACTCATACTTAACACTGCTCTATTTGCGCGCTGAGAAGACCGTAAAATTCTATTTTACTCAGATTATGCATTCATTTTTCGCACAAAGAAAATATTCATAACTCAACGTCTAGAGGCGCTCGGCAGATAACGAAGACAGATTGAAATCAGCGTTTAATGCTCTTCATAGTCGTATCATTTTCATGTAAAAAGGCCACTTCAGCCGAAAACACCTCCTTGTGAGTAGTTTCGTGATAAGAAAACAAATGCGATAAAGCACAGCTGCACAGCAAACAAGCACAACTTTGGAATGTTTTTAGTGTCTGAGCCGTCAGGAATCGTAGCAAAAGCTAGAAAATGCGGCTTGTACAGCTTCTTGCTCCTTCAATATGCTCATAATGAAGGATGGTGCGAATATTTAGAGATAGGTAGAAAAATTACTATTGAAAAATAGACGTTCGGCCGCGTGGGATCATTAGGGGATCGTACATGAAATCCACATATCCAAAGCTTCAGGATATGGGACTTTATTTTTGAACTGCGCTGATCTCCCAAGTGGAAATGTTAGTGCATGCGGCCCTTTGAAACGACCCTACTCCTCTTAACCACTTACCTGAAAAAAAAATCCATTCTCATCCTTGCCTCCACCACCTCATTGTCGAGCTCTGGAGAGAATAAACATGTAGCAAGATTTTTCATTCAATCTTGCAAAACCTGTACAAGTAACTTTTTACGATTGTATAGAACTAAAAGGTAAACTACACTATAATTCACGTCATTGCTCTCATAGGTGTAAATTTCTTAGGAGCATAAAGTAGGAAAGCAGCGTTTGCGAATAAAATATTACTAATGTGGCGAGAACAAATTTCAAGCATGCTACTCATACAAAAATCAAGCGGTTTGCGAAATTCGACGGCAAGTTCTATGGATTAGGCACAAGGCTAGGAAAGCTCAGGCAGGTTAATTTCTTGAGAGCCCAGCCCCTTTTTGAAAACCCGACCTCATTAACCTTACTAGCTGGGAAACCTGGCTCCGCTCGGCCCTGCAAATAGTATGTTCATAAACAACCTCGCTGGTCGCAATTTTTGGGAGAACTTCTAAATTTACTATTTAGGAAAGGTATGAATATCCCTAGCATGGTGACAAAGGTACTCTGTTATGAGTACAAAAAGGCTAGCTTTTTTCTCTTTGAAACCAAGTTGGTCATGTTCGAAACTGAGCTCTACCGATCATTCGATAGAGCTAATACATGTAATTTGACATGCTGGTTATGAAAATCACATCCACCTCACATAGATGGTAGGGCCTTTTGGGTAGAGAACTATATGTCGCGAAAAGGGGCGATCCGCGATTTGCAACAAATACGCACTCTTGCACGTGCATGAAAGTTCGTCTTTGCAAGAAGTTCGCGCAGGAACCTCCCACATTCGGCGACATTAGTCCTCCACCCGGGCCTCTTTGGTAGCTTACGGAAGGAGTCGGATAAACATGAAGGTTCTGAAATTGGCTAAAACTTCGGCATCTATTACCATCCCCAGGTCGGGCGCACTTGAATTCACGCTTCCCCTGTATGTCGTTCATCATACTGAGGTATCAGGGTCAAGGTATCAAGGCAGTGGAGCCTTCGAAAAAGACAAAACCACTAAGACAGTTTCAAAACAGGATACGGCATTCCATTACGGCTTCTCTCATTTCCAAGCGCGATCGTACGTGCATACGGGCCCAAAAAGTAGAGGCTGTGTAGTTCATTTTGAACGACTCAATGTAAAATAGAATAAATAACTTTGGACCAGTTTTCTTAGGCCTCGGATTTCACGCGATTTGATCGTCATGATTCAATCGCTACAAAACAGGTGTTACGAGTTCATTGCATGCCACTCTCCTTGTATTTTGGTTGTGTTAGTTAGTCAGGATCACTCGTGTTGGAAAACTGTCACAACCGAAATGCAAGAAGATTGGCGCAATGATATTATTACAATTGTCTTGTCGCGATCAATCGCGACGCCCAAATCGCGTGAACTCTGCCAGGGACCTTAGAGAGAGATAAAGGCATTCAGGACTTTTTTGTAACCACCAAACGAGTTTTCCTGCATTTGAAAATATTACTTTTTCTAAATAAATGTATGCTATTTGTACAAGAAAAAGAGTTTACTGGTTCCTATAAATTCAACCAAGTTAAAGCTGTTAAGATGACTTGCCATTGTCGTATAGTCAAAGTGATGATGTTATTTTTCATTTATAAGTTATATACCGGTCATTTCGATTTCAGATCCATACCGACATTATGTATCAGTCGAAGCTTATTGATAAGTTTGTGCGTGACTGGCACAATATTCTATGTCGTGATTGAATAAACCTTTATTACAATCTTACAAGCACCTTGATTCCTGTATGACTGCTTGAAAGACAATGATGATTCCCCCCAGTTTGCAAAGTCTTCCATTTGAAATATTAGCTTGAGCAAATTTTGCGTTTGTTCTAGCTTTGACGACAGAGGCGTCATAAGTTTTTAGCACAAGGACTGCGCGTTTTCAGTGACACAACGGAGTTTAGCAGAGCCGAACATCACACAAACTTTGGAATTTCTATTTAGCCTAGTCGAACATCATAAAAATTTTGAAATTTCTTCGTCAAACACTCTTGGAGTGCTCAAGCTCAAAATTGCAGAGGGTAGAGTAGTTACTCTGCGATAATTTTTTCCCTTCTCTTTCTCTGCAATAATCTTTTAGTTTTATTAATTGGACATCGTGAGCTCGCGTTCATACAAAGTGCAATATTTTATTCAGCACGTTCTTCACGCGTATAATCGAGACGGTCTTATTACTAATAGTGCATAAATTTTTGCACCAAATTCATTTGTCTTTGTAAAGCGAGGGTCTGTAATAACTCCTTTTCCTCTGAGTTGAAGTTCCTTAAACAAACTTGCTGTGATTTTGACCTGTTTATACTTCACTTTCTTTCTTAACTCTTCTTCTTTTCTATATCTACCTTGTAGAATAGAAAATCTTCTGAGAATGTTGTTGTTTGAAAAAAAAATTACACGCAGTGTTTGACATTCTTTTGACAAAGTTTAACGCGAAAGATCAATTACGGCGAGGTCACTGAAAATACTCAAAGATTCCAGAATGAGACCTATATAGCAGTAGAACTCTTTATGTCGCGCAAAATATACTAAAGTCTAGGAAATTGGCTCTTTTGCCATTGAAAAATGCCAAGCTTGGGCTTGGCAGTCACGCATGTCGTGGCAATGACGATGGGTCACAGTCTGAAAGCTCGCGTTGACCAAAAGAGATCCTATTTCAAAATTCGAATGTCACGTTATATTTACTGTTATTAAGGTAATGAATGCTCTGTTTTATGTCTTTACGTTCCATTTTTATTAGAGTTATACTAAGCTTTGGTACTTTAGGAACGCCATGTTCACAAAAGCATGCTGTAAAATGCCATGCATGATTTATGCCTTCAAATAAAATTCGTGTCAAACAATTCTACTAAAGTGCAAAGAAGTTGTGATAAGTCGAAAAGTAAGAACGAGCCTTCCGGACCAACCCAATAATCCACCGAAAAAATCGAAAAACACATTATTCAGAAAAATTGAAAATTTTCTTGAAGTGAAGGTTGATACTGAAAAAAAAACGCTCTGCGAAGAAGTGCTGTTGTAACGGAGAAATCGCAAACAAGCTACACCCGATTTACATCCACATCGGGACAGCCGGGTTTAATTTCATTGAATTTTGCAAAGTTTGAGCCATCGGGCTGGGACTTGGCACAGGGGCGCATGTTGCTAATCATGAAAACATAGTGGGGGCGGAGTACTGGCCAAACGTGGGACCAAGAGCCCGGAACAGAGAGATCTTTTACGGAACTAGAGCATGAAGACACTATAGTGTATTGACTGGGCTGGGTAGAGCAGGGTAAGCCGCCTGGTATTACTAAAAGTCACACGTAGTATCGTAAACTGTCACTGTACTTCTTATTCCGTCGCCATTTAGGTATTCTCGAAAAAAAAATGGCAAAGAATCGACATTTTTGTCAGTCATGCGTAAAATCTCAAATATTTTTGACATCTGAAATTTAAATAGCAAACTAACAAACTTGATGAAAGTTTTATTAAGAAAAAGAGGTGACAACTAAGTAAGAATGAAAGCTGCAATGACATGTTAAACAAAGGAGTTAAACTCATAGAGTGAGAATCTAGGAGCTTACAAGGAAAGGGATGCTTGGTTGAAGTGGCTTTTTAAGGTATGATGTATACCATATCCTGGAGAGCACAAAACGCTGATTCAAAATCTGCTTTTACTATCTGCAGGGCTTTTCTGGACGAGGAGCTATAAGGATCAGAGCAAAAAATTGCGTGCTTTACGCAGATAAATCGCTCGTAATATCCTCTATACACCTCGAAAGCAATAATGATTGTGTCTATTCCGTGCAATGGATACGCTTAGTTCAAGTATATCCTTATTCCGCTGCTTTATTTGAATTAGAATCCGCACCTACGAACCACACTTCCAGGCAGATTTGCAATTAGCGCTTCGTGCCCTCTAAGACAATCCTCTCTCTCACACCAATGGGTCTGCACTTTTGTGACTCTTTACGCTCGCGTGCTACCAAACCACTTCGACTACTGAAAAGATGGAAGCGCTCGACATTTAGTCGCACGGTCGAATGCAACAATTACCTTGCGTAGTAAGAACGCAAAGTTACGACTTGAGAGTTATTCTGGGGTCAAGCGCATTTGCTAAATTAGGTAACTATAAGAGGACCTCATGGATACGTAGTGAAGTTGCTGTACATGAAAAATTGTGAAAAAGTTAAACAAGTTACAAAAACATATTGGGCGCACGTCATCGACAGAATATGCTTTGAACAGAGCTTAGTGGAAATCCTGCTGACGTCAACGCTGCTGAATAAGTTGAATCAGTGGCGGACGCGTTTGTGGATGCCGCTCGCGGGTTAGCCTTCCCACTGGATGGGCAAAAGTACAAGGTAGGATTGTTGGAACCCAGAAGTGGATAACCCGCGGAATATTGTCGAAAACACCTGGATATTCAGCCAACGGGAAAAGTAACGCTACATCCTGGTTCGACCACTAAAACAAAATGTGGTCTGTAGTTGCCTACGCTGCAGAGCAAATGCAATCGACTGTTACAGAGCAATTCTCAGTTTCGCGACAACAGTGCTTTTGTTATCTTATTGCAAAGTCTACAATATTTGGAAGTTTTGGGCTGTTTGAAAATTTTGGACTGACTTCTTCGCTGGCGTCGTAATGGTCGCGCAGAAAGAATGAAGCTTAGAAGAACTTTTAGTTCGTCGCCCTTTCGTTCCCTCCCCTATTCATTTTTTTTGTATGTTCGGAGTATTCCGGGGTCCTAGGCGAGCAAATGAAGTTGGCTACACAATAAGTAAAAAGGTTGAAGAACAAAAAACGGACCCCTCCTTGCACATATGCTTTTGGGAAGTAAATTTTCTTCATTACAAAGCATTGTCATACCATGCATGTTGAGTGAAATCTTTTCTCCTGTGCATTTCATATTTCATGAAAACTAAAAGCCAAACACAATCATTTCAAAATTGCCGAACATATTATGTTTGTTTTTAGCAAAATATGAGGCACTTGGTTTTCTATACGAGAGTCATATATAAATTTTTTCGATAAGTTTCTATGTTGTCCGTTTTTCTTTTCAAGGCAAAAAATGCAAAAAATTTGAACACGTAAATCAAGAGTTCTAAGATCTCCTTCTGTTTTTTTAAGAGCAGCTCCTTTCCTCTGCCTTAAATAATCATTTGAGTAGCCAATAAAAGATTAACTTGCTAGGTCACTCTGGATTTTCATTTTACAAGAAAAAAACAAGAAAAAATTTAGGATACATTCAACAAAGACTAGCTTCTTTTATGTATATATAAGCTACTAGCGGCAGGGCCCGGCACGAGATGTGCAAATGACAGGCTGGAAATCGTTTTGAATGAAAAAAGGAAAGGGGTTATCGTTTTTGCAGGGTCCTTAAACTACCATTTTTCCGGGGGCGGAGCCCCGGGAAAAATGGTGTTTTGTGTTCTCTGCTTATCTTAACATGTTAATACCTCACCAGGTGCATGCAGTCCGGTTCGCACGCGTCAAACCGCTCCGCCGCTGACTGCCGCAAGCGCGACGTCGCTTGACCGATGCCTTTGAAAAAACATACATGACTAATTCTCAGTGCATGCGTATTTATATGATACCAAATCTCGTAAGCGAACGAACAGAGGCTGATGGAAACAAAGCATGAAAAAATATGAAAAATTTATGTGAATGGAAGGTGTACTAAGCATTTTTTCCCAAAATTTCCCATAAATGGTGAATGGTTGTGGATTCAAATGGTTCTTTTGCGAAGCATAGGCAACGATATGGCATGAAACTTGATAGTCACATAGACATGGCCCTGCAAAATTATGTGACTGAAGGTTGAAGCAAGCTTTTTTTCTGAAAATTTCCCGCTACTAAAAAATGGAAAAATAGCTCGTTTGCAACTCATAGATGACGAAATCGCGCGAGATTTGGTGTGTACACGCGCAGCAGGACTAAGGAACAAAGTATGAAAATTGTTGAAAAACTTATGTGAATGAAGAGCGTGCCCAAATTTTTTCCAAATTATGTGGGCAACTGCCCACTTAATGCCCACCTGAGGTAGGCAAAACTTTCATTTCATATAAGTTTTTCAAAATTCTCACATAAACATTTGTAAACCTAAAGTTTACCAGATGGTAGGTTTTGGTTTCAAAGCTCCTCCTCTTGTCTTTGTTAGAGCCCAAAATCGCATCAGCAGCCCAGCTTGCTAACAAGGGAATGGTCAGAAGTCGAAGTCGCCAATCTAAACAAGCTGCATACCATTCGATGCAGCATAGAACGCTGATTACAAATCTGTCTTCCGTATCTGCAGAGCGCCATTGTAGGCGAAGTTATAAGCCGTCAAAAGTCATTATTTTGCTAAGAAATTGTGCGTGTGAGGGGCAAACTTGGCCGTACAAAGCCATTCTCGGCTCAGTGTTGGACCAAAACATGCAACTAAGTTCCTTTATATGGTTCGTACCTAAAGGTGAGCTAAAAGAGCAATGATGTGCCTAATTTCGCAGTTTTTGTGTATGAATTTTCTGCAGTAAAGCTGCTCATAACTTCGCCTACAAAGGCGCTTTGCAGATACGGAAGACAGATTTGTAATCAGCATTCTATGCTGCATCGAATGGTATGCAGCTTGATTGGATTGGCCACTTCGACTTCTGACCATTCCCTTGTAAGGAGGAAAGCGCGCTCCAGTCAATCGATACGCGCGAACGGCATCTCTCAGTAATATAACTGCGTTACTTTGATATTTCTTCATTCCTTCATCATTCTTCTTAATTGTTCTTCTTCCTGTTTTTTATCTTGATAAAGATGAGGAATTATTAGAAGAACGCTGAGCGTTTTTCGACGAAGTGTAGCCAGTGCTCTCGTTGCACAAGCACGAAGCATCGTTTTTGGGCTCAAGGGGTATTCGTAAAAATTTTGAAATTAAAGGGGAATTCGTTTTGGAAAACCCCATTTGCCCACCCCGTGCCGGGCCCTGACTAGCGGGCGTCCCGGTCCAGCCGGGTGTGGGCTCAAATTGGACCGGCAAAACACAGTGCTACTAATATTTTCAACTTAATAATGTTTGGCCCGCGCAGTTCAATTACTTACCCTTTCTTTTTGGCTGCCTTACTTCAAGCTCGTGCTGTCCCCATTCTTCGTCCCAGTCCTTGCTTCGATCCCGCTTCCGAAGTGAAAAGTCTCCCTGCAACCACCTGGATTTGTGAGACCACATCCTCCTCACAGTAAAGTGTAAGTAATCTAGCGTTTCTATAACGCACTAACAACCCAGACCTTGAATTTATTCATACATGGATTAGCGTATATCTATGCAAAAAAGATTTAACTTCTGAATGAAAATTGCCGATTGCTACGAGAGAGCTTTTTTGACCATTGTTGTAGGAAGTCGCCAAAAACGAAAAATCTCAAAAAAGCTATATTGCTGCTTTCAAATTTTGCTTTGGCTTTCTGCTCATACTGTGTAGAAAAGATAATACTCGGCAAATTGACTTCTGAAGATAGAGGATGAGATTAAACAAAGCATTTTAGAGAACAAAGATTTTGTAAATAGTTTTGTCGACAACATCATTGCACGATGCTTTCTGCATTACTCGGATTTGTACTAGTCGTGAAAGCAGCAACATTATCCTGGAAAGACTCGTATGGTAAGGTCAGCTACAGACTGTGCATCCACAATTATAAAGTGCAAAGTTACAGATAAGAAGACCTGTGGTTTACCTATGGACGGCGCTGAAGTGTCTTCCTTCGGCAGTCAATCAGCAAGTACAAAGGTACATTGAAATTCTGTATTTTTGATTGCAAATGTGGTTCAATTGTATGTCACGAGTCTTTCAAATGGCGGTAAATTTGGGGGAAACAAACGTAAAAAATTTGTCGACATAAATATTTTCTCGCAACCTGAATTATTTTAGATTCATTGAAGTCAGTCGGGTGTGGTCTACACTACGAAACCCTCAAATGAAACGTCGCTTCTGCTTTGCAGAAGCTCGTACTATTCAGTTCAAAAGTTTTACTCCTGCTCGCACATAAATTCTTCATGGAATTTACTAGTTAATGATAACCATAAGTGTAAACAAGTGATCATGAAAGCTCATTTTGTAAGTGCAGTCACTCTTAACAACGAAAATTTCAGCGAAAGGAAAACTATTAGGGTGATCCAAAAGTAATGGGGCAGCTAGAGAATAAATGCAGTTTTCTCAAATAGAAAAGCTAATTGGAAGTCCAAGTTTTGGCAGATGTTAGTACATAACAAACCCTTCTGATCGAGGTCTGCAGTTGGGCACTGTCACATGGCGTTAATTCTATAAGCGCTTAAAATTAAAGCTCACCATTCAAGTAATTTTGAACTTTTAGCAGCAGCGCCGCAGTAAAACAAGTGAGCCTACGAAAGATATGTGCGCAGCAATGGGTAAGGGGACTGTCACCAAATCCACGATGGCTCGGTGGTTCCAAGGCTTTAGAACAGAATATATAGCATTGAGTATCAAAAGACAGATTACTTATTCTTTCATCAAGGTAATCAAATAAGCCCAAACTTAGCAGTTGCATTCTGATAGTGCTTTTTACGCTCTATCCATACATATGCAAATCACTTCGATTTTTCTCATTTTCAAAAGATTGTGGTCCAAAACGAATTTTAGTCTGAAAATCTGCGCCAAACACCGCGCTTTTTCGAATAAAGTGCCTTTTTTGTATAAAATAATGCGCAATTTTTGGATATTCAAGTAATCATTAGAAAGAGCTTGAAAAGCTCTTTTGAATGGTATGCCACATGTCGAGGGACTATCAGGTGCAGCAGCCCAAACTCGGATGGCGTTCAAAAAAGTCTGTTTGACTTTTTTGAAGCGCCACTCGAAGAAATGTCGGTGAGGTGCTGCAAGGTGCTGTTAAGATAACCTGCGAAGGTCACTTTATACAAAGGCGTTAAAAATGCTGGGCATTCATAGCTAATCAGAAAGAAATCTTGAAGAATGTTAAAAAAACATCAGGGTGCCCCATTACTTTTGGATCACCCTAATACAAATTTCGACAGTCCTATTAGGTTATGACTTGCATATTTTGTGAGAGGCAATAATGGAGGCTATCACACTTCTGGGTAAAATTCTACTCCATCTTCATTGAAAATGAAAAGAGAGTGATTTATGTAGCTAATCAGTGTCGTTTTCTCTGAAAAAGCTTTTCGATTACTTTTCAGTAGGAGAACATGCTTTCAAATTGTCAAGTTGAGTAAATATACGATCTCGCAAAGAGGTAGTTCGAACCCAGTATCGAGGTCAAAAGCCAAGTTGGTCCCTAAAGCGAGCAAGTTTCAAACAAATTGCACGCTTTAGGGGCCGACATGGCTTTTGACCTCAGAGCTAAGTTCGAACTATTCTCTTTGCGAGATTGTTAGTTTATTCAACTTGACAATTTGAAAACATGTTTTCCTACTAAAAAGTAATCAAGAAGCTTTTTTTCTAATGAAAATGACGCTGATTAATTACATAAATCACTTTATTTTCACTTTCAACTTCTGTGATAAATACTGGTATCACGTTTATTCAAAGGCGTAGATTGATTTTATGGTTGTGACCAAGACCTACGCAGCTAGGAGCGGGTCATGCTGGATATTGTTTTTGAGCGGAAGAGCAAAGGGTATATTGTTTTTGCAGATTAGCAACTGTTTCATAATCTTTTTTCTAGGTTATTTTATAAGCCTCAAAGAATTTGGCGTCACAATCTGCTCTGATCGTAAAGCACGCCTTTGAGCAAATTTGAAGCGCGAATCACCCAATTCGTTGGGCTTGATGCCCAATATGCCTACCTTGATTTTTTCTTTCCTTATTTTGGTTGCCGTTCTATCAATCTGTTCGTCTCATATGAGAGGGGGGGGGGGGGAGTTGAAGTAGAGTTTGTGGGAGGGGAAGGTAAAGATTTCTTTGTTTTTCTTGCTATCGGTTTTTTTGCCCTAATACTAGCTTGGATCACAGTTCAAACAAACAAAAAAAAATTAAAGCTAAGGAGAGTTCTGAAGGCTCCAAGAATGTCGAACGGCACTTCTCAAAATTTTTGCAAATTTATTGGGGGACTTCTTTTCAAAATTCCTCGGTTTCAGCTTATACCGAGCCCTGAGAAGGAGGCAGCAATGAAAACGCCGAGTATTAAGCGCAAAAAAGGGGTTGAATCGCCAAAGGCAGTGTCCCGGCAGATCCGCTTCCTGAGTGATATAGGTGTGGTTTGATTCCTAGTTACCCCCTAACTTCCAAGCCAGACCGGATGGTTGATGTTCCCTCCGCGCCGAGAAATTAACCCGCTAAATGGCGCGCGGTCGGACGGCTTTGCTTGTCTGTTCGGCGCGGAACCCCACGACCGCTTCCGCATTGTGCCTGGTATCCAAAGCAAAAATTACCGGCTACAGGGCTTCATACCGGGGCTTCCCAACTTCCTATTGAAAATCTTGTCCGAGCTGCGTTTTTCGAATTGGGTTAACGCCCCCAAAATCGACCTTTTCACCCTGTTCAAAGCTCAAATTCGGATTCTACGTGTCCAAAAGGCCTAAAACATGCAGAAAGCTGGAAATACAGAAAATTTCTCGGGGCACTGTCTTCAAGGGAGATGAAGTTCAAAGAATTATGAAGGCACGTTACGTTTTCGTTTCACAAAACCGCAACCCAAATGGTAATGGTCGCCATAAGGGCGATAATCGCCAGTCACAAGTTATGCAAAATTGTGGGCTGGGACTTTGACTCCGACTCGCTCTATGAAATTCGCGAAATACAGACATACACACAGACAGATAAGAAGACATTTGTGATCAAAAAAATGCCAAGAAATTGTGGCCACTAAGTAGCATATTTTTAAATATCAAAAACTTGTGCAGACACTAAGTTAGCCCCATTTGTTTGCTGAGAAGGAAGAGGTCATGAAACCCATGGTACCAACTGTTATGAATTGCATTGCAACGGCTTTGGATTTGACATTGCTCAAAACTTTGAAGCCCAAATAATGTAATACTTTCACTTTTTACCTCTGTAATCTGTACTCAATGATAACCGCCAGGTTGCCATCGAAATATACATTAATATATCTTGCCAATAAAATCAAGTTTGTGTAAAACATCTGGATAAGAGATATGCGATTCGAGGGTAAGAAATTTTGGATTGAAGTCCTTGAATATTGATATAACACAAAACTTTAGATAATTTGTAAAAAAATGTTTTGCTCTTACTTAGAAAATGTTTGCTCTTACTCTGTAACAAGCTCAATCTGAAGTGAGATTTCAAAAAGTTTGTAAGAAATTGTTGAAGCGAAATGGGTTTGGATAACTCAAGCACAGATAATTTTTTTGCAGACAATAAGAAGCGGCTCGGTTGCAAGAGGGGAATTACCATGGTCTGTCTTTCTTGATCTGACTAAATGGGGCAGTAAGTTTACCACTCCTATATAAATATTGGAATAGAGAAACGATAAAGTACAATGTTAGGAGAATTGATAATCTTGTGATCTTATCTTATAGCTTTCTTGTTCTCCCCCCTCCCATTCCCACCTAAAAAATGCGAATCCTTCGACTTCATATGTTGAGCAATCCGATTTTGCTTGACGCTAATCAAAGCTTTTCATGTTGCAAATAGTCTGCTGGAAGAATATTTTTGTGATGAAGCTCGCCTTTTGTAATTCTTCAGGGTTACAAACTTACCAAACTCTATGATATAGCTGAGAACTTCTGCAAAGAACATGCTACGTTTGCTTTCTTCCCTTGAAAAGGCCTCGGCGCGCAAAACTCAAAACTTTTTTTATTTTATTTAAAAATGCTGGTTCTGTGCTTACATGACTGGTCGTTTGCCAATTGCTCAATGCAACAGAATGTGCTCTTTCTTGATAAGAGAACCAAAATGTCGTTGCTTCGAAGTGAACGGACGCACATAAATTGGAAAAAAAATCATTAAACCACGCGTTGAGAAAGAAGGTAAGAGTTCGAGAGGAAAATAGGTATGGTAGGTGTCTTGAAGCGACAAGTTGGCAAATTAGTGTTGGCAAGCAAAGTTGCTTGATATACAACCATGTCGAAATGTGTACGCATGCTAGTCCCATTGAGAAATTGACTCGTTTCAGTTTATAAAAATAGCGTCTCTATCGTTGACGCATGATTACTCATGTGTAAGATAGTGAAGAAGCTAAAAACAAGTATTTACATAGGATTTACTCACTGGCTTTCTCCACGTCCAGTAACCGTGTGTTTGAACTGTGATGTAGAGAGTAATGTCTGGTATGCTAACATGTAAACTTATCTTTCCTCCGCTTACTTCAATCATCCCCTACTCTCATTTCGCTTGCTTCCATATTAGATTGTCAAACGTATCCACGACTTCGCAAAGTGGTTGTATAGGCCAATTTTGATAACCAGGATCCTAAAGAATGCGCTCAACGGATTCACTTGTGCTTTTGCATATTGGACTTTCACGCTTTTAGCATGTGCCGTGCAAAATTTGGGCTCAAAAAATTGGCGGAACTCGCTTTACGAGTTTTGTAACGGCAGAGAGACACACAGACAAAAAACGTGAACATTCTTAGCCCGTCATTAGAAGTCATGATAAATCACTCTAATTGCGGCTTACGACGGATTCTCAGACTTCTATCATGAATCTCCGATAATCAAATCTAATTATTTTTGGAAGCTTTTTATGAAAAACTACAAGATAATTTAGTTGTCTGCAAACAAGGTCTAAAGTTCTGCTAATGACTACCTTGTTAATCTACATGGATTTACAGCAAAAAGTCGTCATATACTTCGTTTACTGATTTGTCTAGATGTTCACTCTCAAACTTGCTGGAGAAGAACGTGGGAGGAGGCGACATACAGCTGATCATGACTAATACGTCTTCTAGGAGGTATAGGGCATATCAACCACCATTGTTCGCGGGCACTCAGGGAATGAGGCAGCGCGTATGCACCGCGGGCAGAGGAGTTGTACTAGAGCGCAAAACTCACCACGTGTAGGCTCATAATGTTAATTCATCCCATGTATATTTTCTATTCTCATGTTGTGTATTAGGTTCTGTGCTTGTCTCGGCTATGAAACACTACAGATGATGGCGCCGTTTACGCTTTTTTTTGCTCATGCATGGGATTGACTGTTATCCATTTTGAAAATAGGGGACTTGAGCACGCTTTGTGCAAGTATGATTAAGGAAATGTTTTTGTCACACCCTATTTGATTGGTATACCACTACACACCAAAGAAGAAAGATGTACGAGCTTGTTAAACGAAGTGTGCAACGTACTCAGTTTCCTAATCTCAGAATTCGCGACATAATTAGATTGCCGAAGACAACGCGGTCACACACCGTCATATCATCTATTCCGTTACCGACATGCAGATCAGAAGTGTCAAGATGTTGATATAGACATAGCGCATGAAACATGGAAAATAAGCTATCTCAACATGCAATCAAATATAGAATGAAGTTCAATAGATACGCAAGGGAAAGCATCTATACAAATCAACAAGTGACTTTCAAAGAAAGCGATGCTTGATCCTAGCCATAGATCTCACAGCAGACGCTCTCGCGCTCAGGCGCTAATTTCGCTGCCTGCGTCGCGCTTGCAGCTTCATCCCATGGGAACTCACGATCGATGGCAACTGTATGCCCTATATAAGCCCTCCTAGAAGGATTGTCCTTGCGATTCGTTGATTTTCATTGCAAAGGCGACTCAAACGGAAAACTGTCCTCTTTTCAGTCGAAAGGGGACATTGCCGTCTCATCGATATGTGTTCTAGGAATCATTGCAAATTTATCCTTATTGCCGCTTATGAAACGGCAACCGAGGATGTGACGTCCCAGTATTTGATTTTAAAACGTGTCCGGTTGCATAAGCCATTGGCAATGTCCAAATTACGGGGCAGCTTAACAACAACGCCTTTTTCACTAAGCGATGCAGGGTCACGCCAAAAGGCTAAAGAGTATTGAGGTATTCTGATGGATATATCTCTTCGAAAGTTTCTTTTGGAACTACTTCCCCGTCTGCACTTTTACACACTCGCTCATTCTGTGCACTAACATGTACTCGCTCTATTGTTTCATCATTAAGTTTCTTGACACACGCTCTTTCAGAGCAAGTATCGCTTTCTTGTAGAGGCCTTCTTCTTGTGCATCAAATGCTTAACGAAGGTCTCCGTGACAATGTTCTTTGAGCAATCATTTTGCAGATGCTCTTGTTGGCTTGACCTTCCTACATCAAGGAGGTATCTATGCCAGTAACCTGCAGTTTTGATTTCATGTTGGCAAACGACACACTCTAAAAAGCGACCATACACCCATCGAGCAGCGCAAGAATCAACAATCTCTTCTTTAGCCATGCTCTACTACAGGAAGGATTTGTCGAAAATTACCGCACACGACGAGCGACTTCTCCCCGGCCTATCGTTCTGCATTATATCACGCATGAGGACTTCCACAGTTTCAGTTGCACTGATATCATCGATATCTCATCCCAGATGATTATGTCTGTGTTCATGAGCTGACGTGCTTCCTTTGTTATCATATTCAGTTTGAACGCTGAGTTCACAATGCTTCCTCCAGGAAGCAAGTTTGCGATACCTTTCCACGCTAGACAAAAGATTTGATGTCGCTGCCCAAGTGGTAGATTGTAAATTATCATGTACAGGTATGTCTATCCCGTCCCACTGGATCCATCGATAAAGATGCAGAGATGGTTATTCGGAGGTCATATCATCGCAAATATCATCATCCGTTTTTCTTTGAACCGCGTTTCATGTTCCGTATATGCGCGAACCTTCAGATTGATAGAAGTCGTAGTTTACAGGCGTCGGGGCCATAAGCGGCCGTTCATTAGCAGGAGGCATAATGATTTGCTGCACCTTGTCCAACACCATTCTGTCTGCTATGTCGTAATAAGCAATCGCGTTGACTTGCCCGTCTTTCAACCTTCATGCATATAGAGACAAACGTTGCTAACGCTCGTTCCAAAATTTCTGAGCATTTGTTATCCCACAGTAACATAATAAGCAAGCAAAGAAACTGCGTGAGGCGGGCAGGATTAGAGGACTACACGTCGCCAAAATGAAGAGCAACTTTCCCGGTCGCCTACAACAAATGCGCACCCTTTCACTTGCATGGAGGTAACCTGCAAGAAGCCCGCCCAAGCCCTTCTATATTCGGCGAAATATAGTCCTCCATGGGTGCGATAAGGTGAGAATGACCCCTCCATGAAGGAGGCCACAGCGGTCGCAGCCCCTGTTTCCCAGGAGAGGGGGGGGGAAGCATGGTGTTCTCTCATCATTTTTCCTAGTCAAAGTTTATAATTTTCATTCCCTTGCCATTACGGGCTTTGAAATGTGAACCGATGTGCTGCTGGATTAGCACATAATCATGATTCTGACCCATCTTTGTTTTTTTTACACTTTTCCTTTCTCTTTTTTACATCACCCTGCCTGTTTTTGAAATTACCATAGAAGATGTGCATGCAAGGGCAGTTGTTTCGGAAAGAGTTACACAATTTTTAAGCCTTTGCGAATTGTTTAAGAGAAAAAAGTTGTAATTTCTGTAGATGAACAGCAACGTCAGCAATGAATATGTTTTCGAAACCATCTTATTCTCCACTTTCAGAGAATATACAGATTGCCTGGAGTTTGCTGAAAAATATTCCTAATGATGAGTGCGGGTAGTGGTTTCTGGATATTTACGAGTTTTTAGGATTAAAATATCCGTAACTTCTGTAGACAAACAACTTGTACAAGGAAATAGTCACTATTAAAACCGTCTGTCCTCCGCTCAGGGCCCGGCGGGGGTGGCGCTTTCACAAGCTGGATATCGTTTTTGGCCCGAAAAAGCAAAAAGGAAGTCGTATTTTGGGGTCCGGGGCGGAGCTCAGAAGCCCAAAATACGACTTCTCTTTGTTTACCGATAAACAGTGCACATATCATTCTTTATTCATCATTCCTTGTTGATGCTACTGTCCTATGAACTTAGATTCCAGCAATGTGAAGATTCTGTGCTCCGATCGCTAGCCTGCCCGCAGGCGGGAATTCAAATCGCAATTCTTGTAAGAGGAAAATAACAAAATAGGCTCGTTTTCAATGCACAAGTAACGATATGGCACCAAATTTGCTGTGTAGTTGGAGGACCATGAGCACAAAAAAGTATGGAGAATTATGAGAAACTTATTTGAATTTAAAAAATGGTGTTTTTCGAAATTAGGTGGCTCCCGCGCCACCTGGGAGCCACCTGGGGTGGCTCCCTGCTTCCCTTCACATAATTCCCGGATTTCTTTACATAAATGTGGACTAGGTCGAGAGTATTACTATATGTTCAGATCCGCTTCCAAAACCACCAAGGCACCGCTTCGATACAGCCACAAATAGGGTTCACAGTTATGATCGGCTCGGAAAGCGCGCTCCAATCG